GAACGCCGAGAGCTCCGAGCACTGCATCGTAGCGCAGAACAAGCAGCTCCTACCCACGACCGGCCTACCTCGGTGCCGTTCCTGGCTAGGCCGGAGCCTTTCGGCCGCGGGGTTCGGTTGGTGCGGTCGCGGTCGGCGAGGGTTGGCGAGGCGAACGCGGTGGCATCCTCGGAGAGTTCGGAAGCGAACTCGCTCGCCAGGGATTGCGCACACCCGACGCCTCTGGTCCAGAGTGGCCCGGCGGCCCGGTCCGGAGTGTCCGGAGCCCAAAACGCTTGGGTTTTGATGATTCTTCCGTCTCGTGCGAGACCACCGCATCACCGAGTGAAAGTGTAACCGGTGAAACCACGACCACCGTGCAAAATCGCCGCGAGTAACCGCGAGACTGGCCGCGAGAGCGGAAACGCCGTCATCTTACCGGAAACCAACCTGTTCGAGCTCTCGCGCACCATCTCCGACGATGGAGCTCGCGGAGCGCGCTCCGCCACCGTGCACCGGAAGTGAGACGTTGTCGTTTAGTTTAGCTCGAGTGCACTCTGACCGCTGGAGCGCGCTCGAGCGCGTTAACTTAACGCGCCCATTGTTAAAGAGCAGGATGTCACAACACTCGAATTATTGAAGTATGAAATGCTTTTTAACGCTACCCCCAGTCTCAAAATTTTGTCCGTCCTTCCGCCCATCCGAACATTTTCCGCTAAATTTAGCTGGGAAAGCTGCCTCACGTGACGTCACCTGATGTCACGTGACCTATATACCTTGGGGAAATTGACGGCACGTGACCTATACGTAACTCCGCTTCCCTGCTAAATTTAGCGGGAAACTCACGTCTTGCGGCCCAAAACCTCAATTCAGGTTTGCCGCTAAATTTAGCGGGAAATCGATGTCACGTGACCTATGCACCAATTCAGTTACCCGCTAAATTTAGCAGGAAAATTCACGTATTGTGAAAGACACCAATCCAGTTTCCCCGCTAAACATAGCGGGAAAAATTGACGTCACGTGACCTTACGTCCACGTGACCGTTCAGTTTCTCCACTCAATTTAGCGGGAAATTATACGTCCCGTGACACACCAATTCCCTATAACGCATTATATTAATAATAGGACTTTGAAGGCAAAGGTTTCTGCCAATTTTTATTAAACGACAATATTATTCAATAGGGGGTTTTCGTTGATCGTTTCCGCTGTCCCGCATCGCTCTCCGCAATCCGCTACACTAGCCCCTCTACAGTGAAGGCTATCGGCGCGCAGGCGCAGTAGCGGCTGCTTCGTTGCGGAGGGCTTAGCGGAGGGGAAAACGTGGTCTACTAAAACTTCCTAATGACTTCGAGATGATTTACGTGGAAAAAAGGTACCAATTTGATGAGGTAAAACGGCAGAGGGACTTCCTCATCACTATATACCGGTGCACTCAGACGTGTAACCGGGATTTGCGTTAGGCCCAACCGAAAATAAGAAATCCTCGGCTTTTATCTGTTCATCCTAATAATATTATCTGTATTGAAAATGGCAGCCGGTCAGAGCGCAAACGAACTAGTGGAGATTGCCTACTAGACTTTGCTTGGTGAAAAAACGGTTAAAGTACAGGCGAGCTGGTGGATATTTACCATGATGGAACTTAACCCGAGACTGGGGTAGAATTTTGCTTGGTGTTTGACCTCAACCAGCTTTCCTCCTCCGCCTTCCTCTTCGCTGTTTTTGTCTGTGTGGATCCAGTTCGGGTTTAGAGGAGGATGGTATTGATTTATTTATTTACAATACCCCCAGGGCCGTGAGGCGTTAGAGAGGGAGTAGTACAATATTGTTGAATCCCTTCGCAAAATGTGGTGGAGTCTTCGATGGCTGCGATGTCACCGGGAAGGCCATTTCCGAAATTCAGTGCCATCTGGTGGTTCGTAAAGCAGTTTAGGTTTTGCCATATCAATGGCGGAAATGAACTTGTATCGGCACCGTCACTTTTGCAAGTCAACGGCACGCGAGGAGTTCTTCAGTGCGAGTTCTTTCTAGATCACTTTCAGTAAGATAGTGACCAAGAACCTGCATTCAGAACAAAGCTCCAACCCACTCAGATGCCTCGGGAAAATTCTATACACCAAAATGCTTTAAAGCTGATTGTGTGCCGCCCACAGATTGACTGAATCTGGGTTATTAGAAATAAACGCTTACGTAGCTCTTGTGTTTCGTTCCTCCATCGCGTCGTACTGAGTCCCCAAATGTACAGGCCTCGCACCATCCGCTTAGAAGCATCTTCAACGTCTTCCTTTATGAGTTACTAGAAGGCCGCCATTGGTATGGCACAAATGCCTTTCCACCATTCTAACCTCCTTGCTTTCCACAGATGATGATAGCGATCAAAGTGGCCAGGCTGAATTTCGGAAAGTGTCTGTTTTGATGTGCTGTGGAAAAACATCGCGGCCGGGCTATTTTTTTTTTTTTTTAGGATGATCTAGTCTAGAGGACGAACAGGTTGGCGAATAGGAATATTTGTGTGTGTGTGACGGGTTAGGAACAAACTGGAAGCTCCTCCCTCCTCTTTCCACTCAGCAGAGCGTACGCTGGAAAGGATGTCGCCTCCTCTCCAGCGCTCGCTTTGCCAAGAGGGACAGAGGAAGGAGCTTCCCGTCACCGACTCTACGCGACTCTAAGCAAACGCTTTCAGGCCCTCACTAAACAGCTTCGTGTTTCACCACCAAGCGACCAAGCGATCGTTGCATAAGAATAAGTTATCACGAGACCCTCACTGGGCTATGTGCCGGTTTGTTTCATTGGAGTCGCGAATAGGAGTGCTGAAGTGGAAAGACGGTGATTGTTTTCCTTCTTTCTTGTTTTCGTTGTATTCTTTGGCCGGGGGGGGGGGGGGGGGGGGGCATTATTCTATTTAGATAGTTTTCAAGTGAAGTAAATTTTCACCTGTTTAAAGGGGTGTCCAAACAGGACACTACAAAACGCACGACTCCGACAAATCGTGAAAATTGAAGCGGGTGCGAAGCCGGCGCGTCCGCTTCAATTTTCACGATTTGTCGGGGTAGTGCGTTTTGTAGTGTCTTGTTTGGACACCCCTTTAGAGGCTTTGTGTATGCGTGTGTGCCGTTTTTTGCTTCCTGCAGTCTCGGGGTTTTTTCATATCTCAAAATGACGCAGCACTCTCGTTATATTGAGTTTCTGTTCTTCTTTTCATGCAGAGTAAATAACCACATCTTCGACAAGTTAAATTTTCTAAATACCTCAGTGTCGCTGTTTCTAAATTTTAATGTCTGAGACCCAAAATCTGAAACGAAGGTAAGGTAAGCACAACGTTTATTAGACCAATGTTAATATACATTGACATAATTGGGAACTATAAACTTTATAAAACATAAGCAAACATGAAATAATACAATTAATGCCTTAGATTAATTTTTTTTAAATATAATATATACTGCGTTTTATGGGATTCTGTACGGGATCGAAGACATTTGACTCTCCCAAACGAGGAGAAAAGTTAACAAGCTCACTTTCTGGTGGCGGTTTTGAAATAGATAAATTATGTAACTTTAAAATGCACATCAAGGTCATGACGGAAGTTATTGAATTTACAGTTTTGGTCCTCACCGTGTTTTTCAAGCTCTAACTCTACCATAGTTTTCAGCGAACCTTTTCATTGCCTTCACTCCAACAGTCTACCTTGTTGGGCCAAGCGAAAGAAGGTTATTAAGCGTTGATCCGGCTTCTTCCGCTGCCTCGCTGACTGGAGGAATTACAATAGATGAATAAATAGCTTGGCGGTTATTCGAAGTCGGAGGGGGGGGGGGGGGGGGGGGGGGCTCTGGCCCCTCCTGCCCCCCGGTTTCGGAGTCCTTGATTTTCAGCCATTCCAAGTGGTTCCTTTTAATTGTTTTGAAAATAATCGATGTTCTTCGTGATAATGATGCCAAAATATTGTTCAATTTTTATGTGGCTCTTGGTGATGTGCCAAGTGCGGTCATTTAATTGTTCTTTATTAGAGCGCAGCTCTTAGGGGCCCGTTTCCAGCCTGAGCGGCGTCGGCGTAACCGGGGGGGGGGGGGGGGGGGTCACGTGACCCCCCCGAGGTGACGTGACCCCCCCCGAAGTCACGTGATCCCCCGAAGTCACGTGACCCCCCCCCCCCGAGGTCACGTGACCCCCCCCCCCTCCCCCGAGATCACGTGAACCCCCGGGGTCACGTGACTACCCGCAGGTGACGTGACCCCCCTCAGTACCCTTCCCTACTCCTCAAGAGCTGCGCTCCAATTCGGCGTTTCAGGGATTTGTAAATGGCTTTCTTTTCTTTCATTATTGCTGCTTTTCCATTGAAAAATATGTTTTATATTTTGTTGTTTCTCATTTAGAAAGTCGAGTGCTGAGAGACCTTGCGTCACTAAGCATGCGCCAGTATCTGCATATAAATTATACACTTCACCTCATAAGAATTCGGTTTCCGCGCTCGAACGAGTACGTATGGTACAAGAGGAAATGAATGCAATACACGCAGAACTATAAGAAAAATGGGGACAAAAGTACTTTTTTACGAACATCGATCATGTTCAGTCAGTTCCTACGCTAGGCTTGCTTTGCCCAGTAGCCGCACCTGGCGAAGTATCAACAATTCAAGCAGGGTATATGGAAGGCGGCACGTTAGGAACATTAGACGTATATTTTTATTCGTAGCGCAAGCTCGCTAGACTAATCCCAGCTCTTAGTATGATTAAACCTTGTTTATTACGCTGTTTCAATGAGTCAGACCCAGACGTAATACAAAACTTGATACAATCGACAGTGTAAATTAGTATCTATCTGTTTGTTGGCGCATTTTATTGACGCCCATATTGTATGTTGAAATCCAAGTAATAATGCGGTATGCAAACGCTGTAATAATTTTTAAAAAAGTACACGTTTCAGAGGTTAGAGATTTAGTTTCGGTTTGGGTATGAGTTACCAAGGGGCCTGGTAGCCAGGTGGCGCAACCAGGTGTTTTCGCATTATTTAAAATGGCGGCCGCCTGTCTTGAAATGGTAGCTGGCATGACCCTCACGATTTTGAGATTTCAACTTACCGTTATCCGTGTTCGCCTGTGATTGTCGGTGCTGTTCCATGTCACACCCTGTGTGAGTCTGGAATCGGACCTTTAAATTTGATTTCGGAGGCAGCGGCTGCCCATCGCTGCCCGTAAGTATTGTAGACCTGCCTAACGGCTGTATTAAAAAGGAATGAAAATTTCGAGTTCACCCCTAACCGCCTTTTTTGCATGTTGTTGCGGAATCGTCAGGTCATTCCATCTCGATACCGGTTCCGCAACAATGTTTGGTAGCTCGGAAGATTGTAACCAGTTCCTGACCAGCCTGCCTAATGGATTGCTCGTTGTGTTTCTAGGTGCCGAAGCTTGAGAATTATGCTGTTACCTCTTTCTGTGGCGTTGCTGTCTGTTGAAGGGTTTGCAAGATTATCAGAGGTTTGTTTTGGCATTCATCCTCACCTAACGCTTGCAGTTTCAGCACTAATACCTCCTTTTTTTTTCCCGTCTCACACGGAAGTGTGCGCGATTCGTTACGCACTTAGCACATGTTGCATAAGGAGCTTTAGATATACGATGTCGTTTGGTCGTCAGTTTGTTCACCCTTCCTGTTTGTATGAAATACGTTTTAATGAAACGTAGTTCACACCTTGAAGAGCGTTTAACTAAAAACTTAATTCTTGACCGAAACAGTGCATATGTTATCGAAGTATGTCTCGCTAAAGCTGCTGCTTCACGTCCTAGTGTGCGGTGTTTTAGATTGAGGAGATAATAAAAGGGGACGGGCAGACACAAGGCTCCATGCATTGGGTAGTAAAAATGGACAAAGAAAAATGGACATACCTCCATGCATTGAGGAAGGTAGCAGAAAAAGACGACCCGACAGAAACTTCTCTCAGAAACACAAACTTGACTAGAAAGGGCAGAGACAACAACAGCCTACAAACATAAAAAAAAAAAAGAACCTTTTACACATTGAGGAAGGTAACAGAAAAGGACCAATCCACAGATTATAGAGATTGAGGGCTCGCCAAGCTACATTTTTAGTCGTTTTCCTTGACCCATCTATGTTGATGAAAAACAAACAAATTATTGAGGGAGGTAACAAAAAAAGGATGGAGACAAACTTCCACACACTGGGGAAGGTATCAGTAAAGGACGAATATAGGCAAACCTCCACTTTTACTTATCATATGTTACCAAACTGCTGTTTCAAGCATCAGTTGACTGGCAAAAGCCAGAATTTACGAGCATTTATCTCATCAGATAATCTACCTCACACTCATGTTGTTTTTCTAGTGCTGGCATTCAAACTCAAGTTCTGCATGCCGAAACACTTCCCCTGAACCATTGGTCTAGTGAGGGAGGGAGGGGAAAAAAAGAAACTCTGACAGAAGGGGGAGAAAGCATCCTATCCTCTCTGTTTTGAGAAGATGGTTAAAGAGGGAAAGGGCGTTAACTGACTGTTAGCATCCTAAGAAAAGTAGCTAAAAAAATATAGAAACATAGCATATCTCCTTTGTTCAACATTTCTTCAGCACTTGTTAGTGAAAGAACTACCCATAAAAATGTGGCAATCCCACTGAAAGGATTTTTTTTTAAGCATCAACAAGTTGACAAGCCTGCAATTCATATACGTAACTCGGAGACTATACTCTATTTCACTTTAAGCATGAGCGTAGCAAACGCCACAAGAGTGAGCTCTGAGCTCTCAGTGTCTCTGGTAAGCCTGCGTGCTTGTGCAGTGCAAGTGTTGTTCAAGGCACATGCTTGAGTTTGAAGCTTTGGCTTTGCTTCCACTTAATAGTCAAACAAAACGTTGGCACATAAAGGACAGGCAGAGACGTCCCACTGGAGTCATTGCCTCTATTTGTCCTTCCGATTCCTTAGTCTCGTGCTTGTCATGCTACGTTTTTGTGAATTGCCGTGTGTCATCAGTTCTACGTGGCAGCAATCAACCTTCTTTTAGAGCGCAGCTCTTAGGGGCCCGTTCCCGGCTTGAGCGGCGTCGGCGTCGGCGTAACCGCAACCCTCGTAACCCTCGTGAGGGTTACGAGGGTTACGAGGGTTAATCTCATGAGGGTTACCCTCACGAGGATCACGAGGGCCACGAGGGTTACTTACCCTCAAAAGGGTTACCTTCACGAGAGTTACCCTCACAAGGGTTACTTACCCTCGTAACCCTCACGAGGGTTACGAGGGTTAGTAACCCTCATGAGGGTAACCTTCACGAGGGTTACCCTCACGAGGGTCACGAGGGTTATGAGAGTTACCCTCACGAGAGTTACCCTCACGAGGGTCACGAGAGTTACCCTCACGAGGGTCATGAGAGTTACCCTCACGAGGGTCACGAGAGTTGCCCTCACAAGGGTTACAGGGTTACCCTCACGAGGGTCACGATAGTTACCCAGGTCACGTGACTGCCCCTGGGGTCACGTGGCCTGGGGATACCCCCAGGTCACGTGACCCCCCGTTGACGTCATAGCCACTGATGACGTCATCAGTGACGTCGCTGATTACGTCACCGGCATCCGCATCGTCATCGTCATCATCACTGATGACGTCACCGGCATCCGCATCGTCATCATCATCATCACTGATGGCGTCATCAGTGACGTCACTGATGACGTCATCGGCATTGTCACGTGGCCCCAGGTCACGTGACCCCCCGACGTCACGTGACGTCCCAAGGTCACGTGACTCCCACAAGGTCACGTGACCCCCCCGCCACCCGAGGTCACTTGACCCACCCCCTCAGTACCCTTCCCTCCTCCTCCTCAAGAGCTGCGCTCTAATTCGGCGTTACAGGGAGTTGTAAACGGCTTTCATTTTTTCAAGTGTAGTAAACATTTTCGTTGTGTTTTCAGATAACCGTCTACCTGGGCATGTTTCTCTTCATAATTTTCCTCATCTGGAGGTGCTTTAAGAAGCCTCCTGTCTACGAGATTCCAGCACGAGATATCTCCAAAGGTCACCGTTGGTCCGTGACGGACATTCTCAGTCGCACCGGCTACTGCAGCATATGCGAGAACCTGATCGTGGATGGGCTCTTCTGCGACTCGTGCGGTATCTGCGTCGACCACGGTTGTCGTAGTGCAGCCGACAAGTCAGTGCTCTGCAAAATCCTCTCCTGCACTGGGTCTGCGATCAAGCACCATTGGGTAAAAGGTTGGTTAAATAGATGTTTCTCTTGTTTCTCTCAATTCTTCAAGCATGTCAGAGAAGAGATCTAGCCGTTGTGTCCATAGCGGCTGAGAACTACATCCACGGGGACGACAACGACATGAATAATTTGTTTGTGTTTCTGACGTAGCTCTCAGCTTGCATAGCCAAATGCTGTGTCAGCGTTCAGCTGGGGATTGTGCTTGGTCAATAAAGCTCCGATTGAATGCTAGTTTCAGCAGAACGCTGACGCAGCACTTGTATCTAATATGTGAGGATGTACGATAGAAAACATCTACTCTCGACAAGTCGTCAAAGGTATGCCATGGTCCTGGAAGTAGAAAGCTTCTGGAGGCGACCCGAGGGTGACCAAAACAGCTGTTGGTGCCCAGTCAGCTTTCCTTTTCGTCCAATAGTGTCTCTTGTTTTTGGTCATCGTTGGGGATGTGTCTCTCCACGCTTCCGGCTTCACCCCTGGTGGCCCTCATGTCGCCTCCAGAAGCTTCCCACCTCCATGACGACGGTTCACCTTTCTGCAGGCAACACGTCGCCAAACAGCCTGTGCACCGTGTGTGAGAAGCTGTGCGGCCTGGAGGCAGCCCTGGTGGACTTCCGGTGCTGCTGGTGCCAGCGCACCGTCCACACTAAGTGCGCGGATCAGCTTGGTAATGTGTGCGACCTGGGCAGCCACCGGGCCTTTGTGGTGCCGCCCTTCTGCGTTCGCCTGCGCATGGTGGGCTGGAAGGGGCGGCGCCACCTGGTGGTCAAGGAGGTGGCCCGGCCGCCCTTCGACCCCTGGAACCCGCTCATCGTGGTGGCCAACCGCAAGAGCGGCAACAACGACGGGGAGGTCATCCTGAGCGTCTTCCGGGGCATCCTCAATCCTGCGCAGGTGAGTCTCGGCTCGCAATTCGCAATTCTTACATTTCTCGAAAGTCGGCTTGAAATGTAAATCCATGACCGTAGTATTTTTAGCATTTATGAAAAGATCCCCACTCACCTGCTTTTTCGCAGAACAATGCATTACTGTCCATTGTTATTATCTTTGGAGAAGTCTTGTGAATTTGACATACATATTGCAGTAAAATTTCATCTCCGATAGGAACTTTTGCAGAATCCAGATAGCACTGGGGAGGAGCCTTTCCACTCATCTGCTTATGCGATATAGTGCTATTTCCAAATTAAAAGTCTGCCTCTTCACCATTTTTCATAAAAAGTAAGCTATTCTTCTCGGGCTGAACGAGGACACTCCGTTTTGCAAATATACGAGCATGCAAAAGCGCAGCCCCAGCAATAAGCAAAGTGCGGACGTGAGTTTTTGAATATAAAGACCGCAGTGCGACCAATGCCGAGAATGTTAAATTTGAAATAGTATTGAATGAAATATTTTGTAAATGAGCTTTTCTCCGAATTTCTTGGTTTTGCAGTGAGCATTTTACCGGTGAGCTTCTCGTCGACGAGCACCACAATAAAAACTGTCTGGGTTCTTGTCTAAAACATTCGCCCCTATTTCATAAAATACTGAATCAAGAGTGTGTTGGTTGGTGTCGAACAAAGAATCTTCTGCCCGAGACTTACACAACTTCCAAATAGCAACATGTGACACCTTCTACCAAAAAGCTTGTTCTGTTTTTAGCCTCAATGAATTAATTTTTGCAATATTTGTTTTATTACGGCAGAAATCAGCCTCCACATGTTGATATGCAAAGCGAATGTTGAAATTAAAACAAAATCGACGAAGTAACAAATGTTTCTTCCGCATTTAAAATAAGTAAACATTTTAAGTGCATCCCTGCAGAACATTTGAAATCGCCAGATCAAATCCCCTCTCCTACCTTGAACAGAAAAATTGCGGTGGCTTAGCTCGGCTATGCCAAGATATACGTAGCGTGAGCTTATGTGCACAAAATGAGAGGCGCTACCAAGTGGCTCCGGTTCAGTGTCAGACTTGCTGCGCAATGGAGGCGGACAGCTGGGCACGCGGCAGCTCTAGTGCGTCTGCCGCGGCTATGACGTCACTCCTCTGGAATGCGCAGACCGGTGAGGTGGGCGAGGCAGGCGCGGCGGTGGCTTCGCGTGACTCTCATAATGAGTGCTCATTATGCGAGCCGTGCTCATTATGCGTAGCACTGCCGCCTCGTGCTCCGCATAATGAGCACGGCTCATTATCAGGGCCATGCGAAACTGCTTAACCTCGGCCAGTGTAACTAACGCTACAAAACATGGTAAGACAGTATAGACTTTCTGACGCTTCGGTAGCTTTTGTCTGCCTGCAGTTGCTAACTTCAGCCCTCACGCAAGGACCGCTTGAAGCGCAAAGTCTTTCACCCCTATTTTCATGACCCAAAGCACCAACAAAGAATGAAACATCCTCTTAATGACGCGCTCGGGCGGTTGACAACTGACTAATCAGACACGCGCTACACGCAAAATCTTACCCAACAAAAAAAACAACAAAAAAACACCCTTGCTTTTTGGGAGGCGTTCCCCCTCAAAATCCCGACTGAACTGAACGACCTTGAAGACGCAAGTAATCCTGGGTGCTATAACACATTGCACAACTTCAAGAGGAAGTATTGCCGACACACGCATAGCATAGATGACGCCAGCAGACAGCTGGATTTGTGATATTTTGATGGGCTACAAACTTGGTTAAAATATATCACAATGAGAATCTCTGGGAAAAAGATCTTGTTAGAGAAATATTCAAAAAGTCCTGGATTTCAATATTGTGGCACCTGAATTTGTATTTAGGCCCAGGCTTATTTTTTAAAATGTTCATGAAGAACGGATCGAGAAAGGGCTTAGCAATTTTAGGTTCCCGTAAAAAATTTTAATTTTTAAGATCGGGAAATGTAGCTTCACAATATTGCTCAGTTTTTTATTATCTTTCTGATAAAACCATTCCCAAGTCAACCCATTTGGTGGTTGCTGAGAAAAAAGGCCAAAAAGTCGCCACTATAATTGCATAGAGCTTGGGAGCTGCAATATCCTCTTAAGTGCAAAAATGCCATCTCAGCTAGACATACAAAACACTATGCCTGTTTGTTAACATGAATATGATTTTTCTGTAAACAAATATTCCATCCAGTTTATACCCTTTCTTATTGTCTTATCTCATTTCGTGCATTGCAATGAGTGACTCTCGAGGGCTCTGCACTCTGACGCAGCTCGATAATTCACTAACCTGGGAGAGTGAGTAAATAGTGTAGATTAGAGGTGTTTTTCATATTGTTTCCAGGCATCTCAAATTATCTCAGACTTCTGCATTGTGGGGCACGCCAAAGTGTCCATATTTAACTACTAATTACACCAGTTGGATTACCGTAGAAGCCAGTTGCTGTATGATCACATTGAAGTTATAACATATTCTTTGTTACCAGCATGGAGAGTACTGCTGTAAACAAAACAAACAAACTTTGGATGCAGTCAGAATTTAATTATGGTGACACATCTTGCACCAGAACACACAAAACATCTATAACTGTACTCAGCTGCGCACACTGTCTATCTTTTTTTTTTTTCATCTATGTTTAGACAGCAGGAAATTAGCCTGTCCCAAAAGACATATGGTGTCTCGGCTGTACATGAGAAATTTAGCCGGTGAAGTAACGTAACTAGCCCGTGGTCTTTAACTTGCATCATGCAGTAGTGATACACGATTGCACACTGGTGCAATGCTCGTACTGATTGAAATGGGCGGGTTTGGGGATCAAACCACAAGTCCCCGGGTTCTACGAGTGCAAACTTTCCCTCCACGCGCTCCGAGCCGCGGCGCGTTGACCCATTCGGCTATTGACGGGCGACTTATGAACGAAGCTAGATTCGAGCGTTAACCGTTTAATTAGTAGCTCATCCACAACTGGCATTCAGAATGACATTTCTAGAATATGTATGTGCCTAGTGTTCAGCATTTCTTTCTTTTTTTGTTTTACAGTGGTAGCTGTTAGTGGCTTATTCCCCGATTTCGCAACGGTGCAAGCATAAACAAAAAGTTCTCTTTCTAAATTTGGCAGAAAAATTAATGACACGTGACCTGACGTCACGGGACCTACAGACAAATTCAGCTTCCCCGCTAAATTTAGCGGAAAAATTTACGTCAGTGAGACTTATGTATTAATTCAGTTTTTCAGCTAAATTTGGCGGAATAATTCACATCACATGACCTATGTACCAGTAGGCCACTTTCAAAAATCCCCCCATGCAAGGCTGTGCATGTTGCACGCTGGGAACCAGTTATGGCCATGGAGAGGAGTGGCATGGTTTTTGTTTCGATCAGACAGCCACTGCCTGTACTTCTGCAGCCAAGCACGTAAACTTCCGAGCCTGCGTAACTTTTCTTCACTTGCATGTAAACGTGCTTGCATGATAGGGGCACCAGCAGGGACGTTGCAACCCATCGTTCTACATTTGCCTACCTTTGCCCAAAATCCGGCACATGGGAACCACAAATACAGTGTCAAGTGTTTTTTTGGTATCTCTCGGCAATGCCTACAGAATCGTACACTTGTAGGAAGTCGCAGCAATGGAAACGCAAGCAGCGTATTCCGTCACGACGCAATGATCATGACAAAATCTGAAACTGAAACCAAAACTAAGTGGTCAGCTTGTACGCAGAATTCAATTAGAGGCGCTTCAATTAGGGAAAATATCTATTTTGTGTCCTCGCCAAGTTTGGCGGGAATATTGATGTCACGGGACTTGACGTCACGGGACCTACAGGCAACTTTAGGTTCCCCACTAAATTTAGTGGAAAAATTTATGCCACGTGACCACTGCACCAATTCAGTTTACCCGCAAAATATGGCGGGAAAATTGACGTCACATCAGCTGACATCACAGGACCTACAGACAAATTCAGGTTCCCCGCTAAATTTAGCGGAAAAAGTTACGTCACGCGACCCATGCATCCATTCAGTTTCCCTGCGAATTTCGGTGGGGAAACACGTCGCTATCTTGAAATCGTTTATTCATCAACAACGCGTTGGCTTCAAACCAATGCAACGTCGTTTCAGCATTAGATTGTCGTACGACGGCGCAATGTTGTCGTTGTCATGTCGTCAAACCAGCGGCACGGTTGCCGCCTCCTAAATGCATCACGTCCTGCGAGCGTTGCGCAAAACTTTTTTCCCGTCTTTTAGGTGATTGACTTAGACGAACTCCCACCGGAATCGGCGTTGGAGTGGTGCCACCTGATCCAGGACCACGTGTGCCGCGTCTTGGTGGCTGGAGGAGATGGGACCGTCAACTGGGTCTTCACCGCAATGGACAAGCTGAAACTTCAGGTGGGTTCTCTTCTTCGCCTCCGCTACTTTGCAGTGCGGTGCCTACAAAGCATCTCCAACCGGTCTGTTTACCGCGCCGTAAAAAATAGTTTATCGATTACCGCCCGACGACGTTGTAGAAGTATCACATTGCCGCCGGCCACGACATCCCGGGGTGTTGAGGCACCGGTGGCGAGTGTGGCAGACGCCTGTTTCACTGCCGGTCGCTCACCAGCTTGACAATCCACGGAATGTCGGCAGCCAGGAGTTGCAACGACGGCTGCAGTGCTTGCGTTTTGCTCGTGCTTTTTGTTTCAACTTCTGCAGCTGACCGCCGGGATTGTGACGTCTAGCTGTGCGGCATGGCCGCTGCTGCGACGTCGTTTGTCGTCGCTTTGGGACCACTTACGACACACGGGTGGTGTGGACCTTTTTGTCTCGGCTGGTGGATAGAGGGCGCCGGTGCACTCGCCGCCATTGGGTTGCTTTGATTTGGTTGGTTTCGGTTTCAACATTCTTGCGGTGCTGTTGCCGTTTTATGCCATTTTTGCTTAATTTGGCGATAAAATGTTTCCCCTTATAGCAGGCTACCAGTGCAATGGTGGTACTGAGCTACTCCAAGGGCTATGAGGTGCTTTCGAGCCTAAATTGTGGGCTTTTTTTACGAACGCCTATGATGCATCCGATTATGGTCGGCGGCGAATCGACCTAACCAATGTGCGGGGAAAATTGCCATCGTCTCCGGCCGTACTCGACGATGCAAGTTTCTGGAAAAATAAACCAATGAAGGGACTGATACAAGAATGCGAAGAAGCAGGTCGACAGCTAGGTGCAGTGGGCCAAATCGGGATGACCGAATGAACTCGCGAGTTTATTACTGAGTGTTTTGTTTTCATGGATGCCCGACTTTTAGTGAAGTTCGTGGACTAAAAAAGGTTTTGTACAACGATGCGGAAAATTGATAAAAACAAGGAATATTACCTGAGCCTCTTTTATTTATAACTATTTAAATACTTTTAAAATATTTGAACAGTGTGACCTAGGCCAAGTTGGAAATTTGTTCAATTATTAGCCCTGTTCAAGTGCTTGTGAGCAGCAGTTTACGATATTGGCCGTAGAAGATAATCTATTTTTTATATGAACATTTGCTTATGGTGGTAGGCCTGACATTTGACTCCAGTAAAATTGGCTAAATAAAATAAAGGGGCATGGGACAAGTATCTTGAAAAGTTGGCTGAAGTCTAATGCTAGGCGCTGTTTGGACCCAAACAGCGTTTTAGACGTACACATTGAAATGACTCTATTTCTTCGCATATTCGAAGATTTTGCGTACACTATTCTAAAGCTCTGAACCCTTAAGCTGTCTGTGACAGTTTCTGGTGCAGGAAGTCCCAAGCATTGTGTTCAAATAAATTAAGTAAATTGAACTCGTTATCTAAAGACAGTCAATAAATCACCTGGAAGACTGCCGAAATGGGACGGAGCACGTTATACAGTTTCTTAAAATGCATATGTAAACTGACCAACCAAATTTTTATATCGCAAAAACAATTGAGCACGTCAAATACATGTAGACGGGATATTCTCACCGTATATTTCTTTTATCAGCAATTTTTGTTTTTCTTTTGCGTTACATCGGGACGATGCGCTTTTAAAGGGAGGTATAGTTCTGGATGCAGGGCCGAGGAAGCAACGCTCGATCACGGACCTGTAGGATATTAGCGTTTATTCTTGCTCGGGACATATTTTTTTTTAATTTCAGCCTGCTTTCTTGTTCTTGAAAGAGCCTGTTCATTCCCACCCCAAACGCGTGACGCGAAAACCTTCTGGGCTGAATTTTCGAGATGCTGATGCCCACTAGATAAGGAGCTGCGCTGGACCTTGTTGAGTCACTCGCACTCTTGCTTCCTGTTATGCCACTAAACCGTTACCTGCTTTTCTGTTGTCTCGACGCTTGTTCTTTATTTTGTTTTGCACAAGTTCGCCGATTAAACCTTTCTTTTCAGTTCATTATTTGTTGTCTCTTTTCCTTACTCCTTCGCATTTCTGCGAGAGGTAAAGGATTGTTCCCCTGCACCTCCACCAGAAATGTCACGCAGTAAGGTGAAGAGACAATAAATAATGAACTGAAAATAAAGGTTTAATTGGCGAACTTGTGCCAAGCAAAATAAAGGATGAGCTTCGAGACAGCAGTAATTTGGTGGCAAAACAGGGAACGAGAGCGAGACTGACTCCACTAGGTCCCGCGCAGCTCCTTACCTATAGTCCGTTGCAACCTAAGAAGGAAGGCCGAGGGTAAGACGGGTCGGGGAGGAGGAAGCAGACTGAACGCTAAAGAGAGAAGGTTTCCTTCTCTCTTCTCCAGCGTTCCGTCTGCTTCCTCTTCCCCGGCTTGTCTTACCCTCACCCTTTGTTCTTAGGTTGCAACGGACTATAGTGCGCATCAGTGTCTAGAAAATCCAGCCCAGAAGGTTTGAGCGTAGCGCATTCGGGGTGAGAATGGACAGGCTCTTTTGAGAACAAGAAAGCAGGACGAAATGATTAAAGTTACGTCCCGAGTACGAATAAACGCGAATCTTCTAGAAGTCCGTGACCGAGCGTTGCTTGCTCAGCTCCGTGCGCGGCAATATTATGAACAAAGAAATCGCCTGATATTGACATATCATTATTCCTAGCAACAAATAAAATGCAAGTTTAATGTTCCTTGCCTATCTCCACCACAGGCTCTCCACATAATCAATAGGAATTGTTTTCAATCTGTTATAAATGCAAAGGATGGTGCTTTTTAGAAAACACACTCGGTCTTCGCTGACTATTCTTGACACCTTCCAATCCTAAATGTGCAGTCATAAATATATGCACTCCTAATTGCAAAGGTTACGCCACTATAGTAACCAAACCTTAGTTGTTATAGGTAATTCACCTTTGATCCCTTGCACTGTCATATTCATCTACATCAGAGGTCTCAAACACGCGGCCCGCGGGCCGCATGTGGCCCACAGGCAACAAGTACGAGTCCCGATTTCCATGTCTCAGGTGCTGGAAATGGCATGCGCCATACCCATAGTGATCTCATCTCGTTGATACGTTTTTGCTTGAAAAGTAGCTCTGATCTTTTAACGTATTCACATAGTTCATACTTACCTTTATTCATTTGCCCTTTGTTTTGCTTTATATTTTGCTTCCCATGCAGCTTTATGTATTGTACAACTCCGCTGCAAGCGCGAGCTGTTTGCTGAAAAATGCATCTCGGCTGCTCAAATTCTCGTTTAGCAGGAGCAACTGCCCAAGATAAAGCTACGAGCTCAAGATTCTCGCATTAAAAAAAAATATCACCATTAAGGGGGGACACTGGCTAGAGGCTGAACTTCTGAACTACTCAAGGGATTGGAATGAAATTTGCAGGGGAGATTTAGCATCAGATGTAGGTGTATTGTGCAAACTTTCAGCTCTCTAGGACAAATTTACATACCTGCATAAGATGATGTGTCAGTCTTCGTTAAGAAATCTATGATATGCAAATGAAGCTATTAAATCACCATTTTGACTGCTTGAATATAAAGTGGGGGATGTGGGACTTTGGGCTATCTAGTTTTAATAACTCAAATGTAAATACTTCAGGAAGAGTTATTACCTCAAAATATGAGATGCATATCTGTCCTAGTCAAGTTTTGCAAACATAGTTTACTATCACTGAGGGCTTCAACTTAAAAGAAAATAAAGTAGATAGCCCCATTCCTCAGTAAATTTCAGTTCAGAAACATCTTGATTGTGGTATCAGAATATGTTGACCTTCGAACAAAAGATTCCTTTGTAATAAATTTGCAGCAAAAAGTGGAACTAAGAAAAATGCATTCAAACATTGAACTCCTTAACTTTGTTACTAGCCTCACATTCCGTTAAAAAGATTTTATATCAACATACTGTAAATGACTAAATTTTCGCAAGGACCTACTTTTTGCGAATTTTGCGAATTGCGTACAATTCATGAAAAATACTTCCTGCAAACAATTCGGGCAATATGTGAACGCTATGGGAACTACACTCGATTCGCGAAAATTAGAACCCGCGAATAATTTTAAATTTTCATCTTTGGCCCGATTTGCGAAAATTTGAGCCCGCGGAAATTAAGTTGTTTACAGTAACTATTTGCCATATGGTTATCAAATTTAGCGTAAGGGTGTATAATTAGTATGTAGAACCGAAAACCTCACAGTTAAAAAATGAATTTTTTCAAAAACATCTGAAATTTAGGCCCAAGTACTTGTTCAGAGTGTTGTAATACAAAACGTCAGGAAAGCAAGAACTATCAAATTAACTGATTGTTTTACTAGAGACATGTTCAGCTTGGTTAATTCCAAAGTGAATTGAGCAACGGGAATGACAGTGTACTTGCACTCATGTTCTATTAAAACTGCCAGCACGTTGGTGGAATGGTGTCATTTCAACTCTTCTAAAATCCAAATAAAAGATGCCACCGGCAACATTATGAGTTTTCAAAAAGCATGGAGCACAAGGTCTCTTCTCTTTGAAATCTTTACCCCCCCCCCCCCCCCCCCCCCCCCCCCGGTCTCACATTGGCCTCGACCTTTCCGGTTTGGACTATATTCGCGACTCCAGCAAAACGGTCGCCGCCAAGCGGGAAAACCGGGAACCAGTCGGTCCAGGTCGCTCCGCGCCTCGCCGCGTCTCTGATGGCTTTCGCGGACACGTGCTGTCGGCGCGGGGGCGAGCAATGTAATTTGACGAAGGTCCGAAAATTTCTTAAGTTTGCCTGAGTGTTCATTAGTGTGGTGAAGCCTCAATAGATTGTTTCTTTCCATCACGTGTTTGAAAGCCCGTTTACTCCACAACACACGGTCGCGTGCTTTCAATTTTTTGGATGAGGAGGAATCACGGAAAAACGTTTTGATTTCTCGTCTGTCTCTAACCACATTCAAAGGGACGACTGCTTGGTAACTGATAAGTGGTTTCTTTATAAGGATGTAGAACAGTGGACTGAGGTCGACGGACGAAGTGTTTCACTGGAGAGAACACCAATGTTGCAGTCAAGTGAATGGGAAGGTTCGATAGCTGCTTTCCTTGAGTTTGGTTGTGCTCGATTAGCTTCAAGTTAATTTGAGCCAGTAACGCCGGCCGGTGCGTTGGCTATTCATCTTGGCGGTTTTTCGCCGAAAAAGACCACGTTAAGGGAGTTGGGCTAATTTCGCAATTACTTGATTCAGAAAACCTGCTCGCTGCGTATGATTAATGAGGGAAATTATCTGCTTTCAAAAGGTGGGGGATGCGTCTCGCAAAGTTAGAAGCTGTCACGTCATTAAGATCTATCGCGCCTCCAATATTTATATTATAACCCCTGTCGAAGCCAGCAGCAATACACGTCTACATTGCTCAGGTTGACCGGCCACAAAAAATACTCATTTTATCCGTTCAGGATTCGAAGTCAAGTTCAATGCAGAGAGGTCCGAGTGAATCTCCGATGAAGACTCTCCTCAGTTTGTCCGCATTCGTATCCGTTCTACCGGCTAGAACCGTGTGGCTAAGTTTAAGTAGTATCTCTCTGTTTGTCAAATATACTTTTATTCAGCAGTTCACATAATAGGTAGTTAACTAAGTTCATATTTCAACCCGAAGAATATACTAATATCGCTTTAGTGGGACCATAGTACGTAATATGATACATAATCCGCATATTCGTTAAAATGACTTGTCGATTGCTACTAAAACCTGAATTGGAATACGAGTATCAGCTGCTTAGTGAAGCGCCAGCGAGTTGACATGCTCCTTGGCTCAAGAAGCGCTTGCTTAATTTTTGTAATTTTCCTGCAGCATGTGTTCTTGACCGAGCACACAACTGGAGCTGTTTCTTGAAACGCGGACAGGCACAAAAGCTCAATTTGCGGACAGATAAGTCGCATGGTCGAGGCATGCGAGTTAGCTAAAGATTACTCTCGGTGGAACAATTTTGTAGCCCTCGCCGCTTTCCTTAGATGATCAAAACTAATTAGAGTCTATTACCGTTTCTCCGGAGCCCATAGTTTCGGTTTTGATCAAAGTCTCCGAAACGAAAGTTTGACATAAAAAAAAAAACAAAAAAAAAACGGAAAAACAAAGCTATGCTCGGCAAGTTTATGCGCACCGGCTACACTTAACTGTCTCAGTTCAAATACCCATAAAATTGGGCATTCAACAAAAGAAAATTTGTTAAATTGAATGCGCCACCCATTCAGGCGGCCCGGCCGAGCCGACGCGACCTGGACTCAGCCGCCATGTTTGTTTGGTGGTGGCGCCCCCTATAGGTCGCTGGAGTCGCGAATAGCCCCCACACTCAAATGAGTTTGAGACCACTGGTCTACACAATCAATGTAGCTCAGTGCTAGTGCTGATTCCTGTGCTTCATCCTCACATGCATTCAATATGCCGACGGTAAAAATTGTCAACTTGTACTACAAAATTAACTACAGAAGTTGCACACATTATGATGTAATGCAATTAGATAATAGATATAAGTATTGGACTACACTTTACGAAGTGGGGCAAGAAACCGTGGTGAAATGCAACGAAAAACACGAATACAATGCATTCTCCAAGGCACAGAGGACAGAGCGCAGCAACGAGTTGAAGCAACCTAACGGCGGCTGCGTCACGCGATCCTAAGATGGCAGCGCCCATGCGATTGAAGATGAAAAGGTCCATAGGCCGCTAAACACACCAGCTGAAGGCTCGTTCGAGGCACCATACTTTGCAGTCATCTGAAATTACCTTGCTAGCGATTTGCGACCTTTTTCTCAATTCCTTTAATTGTTTCACTGCAACATAATTTTTTTTCTTTATGACCACAGCCACCTCCTCCACTCTGTGTCCTTCCGCTCGGCACTGGCAACGACTTTGCGAGGGTGTTTGGCTGGGGTGAAGGCTACAGCTCCTCCGACATCAATGCACTGGATATCTTGAACAGTCTCAATCGAGCAAGAATACAGAAAATTGACAGGTAACATGTGAACCTGGCTGGAGAGATACCTTTTGCGGGGTCTTTCCTCACTCTGCTTGATGTTGTTTGAGATCCCCGTGTCAGGAGCCAGTGAAAACTCTCTCACAGCTTTTAATTACATACCCACCATACAATGCAGTATAATTTTGTTGATGCATTTCTCAAGGGACTGGGGTAAAGACGTGTATGTTTCAAGAATGCAAAACGACCAATGATGCTTTGGGGGCCCATAGATAAGACAAGAAGCAGCTCTGACACAGCAGTTTATTTCACATGGGATTTTATGACTGTGAAGTACTATCATATGTGTTCATATATTAGTCATCATCTTCTTTTTTTGCTCTCATCTTTTAAAATTGATGGTTGATCTGTAATAGTAACAAAAAAATGTCTAACTTTAAGTGAGAAAAAAAGTTGGTGAGCAGATTGTGTCAGATCCACGTGCTTTCCTGTATCAGTTGCTGCTCCTAGCGTGCCACTGCAAAGTGATGAAGCCCACTGCTTGCGCCGATGCAATGTGGCAAAGCTTGATGTGTGGTTTGTGCGTCCTGCAAAGGTGATACGTGATTATTCTTTTTATCTGGTGCAAATTCACTGGATTAAGGGATTAGTCATGCATCGCTTGACGCACGGTATGCACATCATTAGCCCATTCATCAATCCAATTCTGCACCTAAAAATTGTGAGTTCGAATTTATTGAAAATAAATTTGAATCTATATTTTCTCCCTTCATAATCGTGCGAGTGCATCTTCGAATGGTTGAAAAATCTTGCCAGTCTCGCTTTGCATCTGGTTCGTCATTTCATGTGGATATTTAGGTGGCTACTAGACGATCGGGCCGCTAAATAATGTTTTGTAAATGGAAGTACTATCTTCTTGATGCCTCTTCGCCGGTGCAAACGAACAACAAAGCTTCCGACACAACGAGCAGAACATGATCATCTTGCAGTTTGTGTCACGGTTCAACACGCATTTCAAGACACCAAATGCACAATCGACTGCAATTTGTATGACTTGATTTTTGAAAGAATTCAGAACTCCTTTTATCTTCTATAAGTAACGTGAAACTAATCATGCATTCAATGACATGTAGCACAGAACTACCAAGCTAATGTTGCATGCAAACATTGTACTTTGAAGTTATCTTGGATTCCTGATCACTTGAAAAATCTTCAGTTGATTGCACGATGCTCGTCCAAAAAATATGCAATGCCGAATGCAAGCGAGGTGATCATTTTTTTATCGCTATTTTTGATCACTACCAGTTCTAAACTTCTAAGTCCAAACCTTGGTCCGTTTGTAGTGGCAAGTTTGACGGGAGATGACAAAATAATAGTGCAATTGTTTAAAAAATGTTTTCGCGTGTTTGGGAAGGGACGTCACGAACATCAGAATAACAATCAAATTATTTTGATGTTGGACGTCGAAATAGTGACTGCCGAAATGTCAACCACTTTCACGGGTTATCTCTTTGCGCCGAGTGGGTTTTCACCCAAAATATTACTTTAGTTAAATATATTTTGCACAATACTTTATTTATCAGTCCGGCTCTAGGGGTGCATATAGGGTCGCAGAATATTGAGTATGCTATTTGTTTTGTGACCGAGGTACTCTCGACTCTCTAGGTGGAAAATCCATATATCTCCACAAAGACGGCTTGGCTTTGCTCCTCCGTGTCAGGTAAACCCCTTCATTTTTTTCTTCTGGGTACGTTTACATAATTCGCTTATCCAAAAGTAAAGAAACCATGTTGTTGCCTAAACTTAAGGTTCCATTTTTGCCTTAAGTTTAGCCAGCAATATTCTTGGTGCTTTTGAGACAAAACTGGTTCACATATTTGCGTTCGACTTCAATCGACTGCGCTACGACTGTTTGTGACAGCTTACAATGTCCCTGGGACACTTCTGACTTGCATATCTTTTATGCATCATTCTATCACCATGGGCTTAAAATAATTCTGACAATCTCATAAGAGACCATTTCTCAAAAATACTGCATAGATTTGATTTCGCAAATACTGCAAAACCCTCAGTCTACTCAAAGCACAGTTCATCAAAGCCAAGCAGAATTGTGTGAACCAGCTTTTATGGTGAACAGAACATAAACTGATTGTGACCGTAGTCACAAGGGCTATGACTGAAGGCTAGGATCTCTGCTTCCAGGAAATGTTCATGACGAACTACGCTTCCGTCGGCGTGGACGCCCTGGTCACCCTCAACTTCCACAAGACACGAGAATCCTGGCTGTACCTTTGGAAGCACAGGTTTTTCAACAAGGTCTCGCATCGCTTGCTCTCTTCTTTCTGTTGATTGCTATGATTTTTCATGAATTTACAGGCTCCCTTGTGGTTTTGCGGCTTTGCTGCGAACAAGGGCAAGGGGGTCACCCGAAGTGAAGCAACCCTGGATGAATAGCGTGCACTCTAGGCTTTGTGCGAACATATTCATTCATTCATTCATTCATTTGTTTATTTTCTATGCTCATGAACAGCTTGACGCCTTGGTAATGATGCACAACAAAATCTTCACAGGTTAGTTACGAAAGTCTTAAAAGCTACAAAATTTGGGTTAAAAACATCAATATCTGCTCCCCTGAGGATATTGTAGAAGTGTTGAATACGGGTCATGGGACTGGTTTGGATGATGTGATTAACATGAAAAGTTGGAGAAACCCGCAAAACTAGACTCGGAACGTGAATATTGATAGCAGATCTGAGATCTGGGCAATCAATTAATTCATGAATACATTTATACAGGAAAACAAGATCGCTCTCATGCCGTCTGGAACTCAAAGTAGGGCATTTGCATCGTTCCAAGAGTCTTGCATAAGAATAATAAACAGTACGACCAATGTAACAATCGTAAACAATTAGAAAAAAACGCTTTTGAACATTTTCAATCATCTCTTCGCTCGTAGAACTAATACAATTCCAGACTACAGAGGAAAACTCCAACTTGGTCTGGATTGACGAGAAATATAACTGAAGAATACAGGTTGATGTGGAGAACTCGCACATGATTCTAGAAATTACTCCCAGCTTATGCAAAGAGCCATTTATAAGGTTGTTAACATGAACAGTAAAATATAACGAAGAGTCTATGTATGCACCAAAATCACGCGTGCACTCGACTCTTCGCAGAGGATCAATGCCAATCTGGTAACAAAATTTAATTTTTTCTACCTTTCTAGACAAAGACATAATAACTGTTTTAGAAGGATTGAGGGTTAGCATGTTCTGACGACACCAATTGGACACACGCCTAACATCCTCCATAAGTTTTTCACAGTCTTCCAAGGATATGATCTGCCTAAACAACTTGACATCATCTGCATATTGCAAGACGGCCGAATATTTTTTATTTATTTTATTTTATTTCCAATACTACTAACCCCATTCGGGGTTGTTGTAGGGTGGTACAGTTTGAGATATTACAAGCAGAAAAATAATATTCAACACACAATTTGCAGGTAAATATTCAAAGCAAATATAGAAGTCGCGAATGAAAAATTAGTAAACAACTTCAATACAATAGATACACTGCACTTTTAAAAACAGCATAAAATATTAGTTTATGATGAAAAGTGGGCATCTACGTAATCGAGGAAGATTTCAATAGAAGAGGAATGAACAACGTTTTGAGGCAGGTGGTTCCATTCGTTAATGGTTCGGGGAAAAAAAGAGAATTTAAAGCAGTTATTATGAGCGAAGTCTTCCTCGTAAAGCTTGCCATGGTTGTACCGTGTTAATCATTTGCTTGTATGGATAAGATAATTTTCTTTTGGTAGGTTGAAATGATCGTTGGCTAATTCGTATAGAAATTTAAGTCTAGCTGTTTTTGCTCTTTTTTCTAAAGAGGAGAGACCCAGTTGCCTGCAAAGTTCAGAGGGAGAGACGTGCCTACTATACTTATTGCAAATAAACCTCGCGGCCATTCTCTGAACTTTTTCTATCTTATTGATGCCGGAGACTGTGTGGGGAAACCAGACGACGTTGGCGTACTCGAGCATAGGACGTATTAAAGTTTTGTAGGCTAGTAATTTAGTGGCAGGAGATGCAAATTTTAAGACTCGTTTAAGGAAACTCAGTTTGTTTAGAGCTTTATTAGTTGTGGAGTGAATGTGTGAGTCCCAACGTAAATTTTGACTTATATTGAGGCCGAGGTATTTGTATTCACCGACTTGTTCCAAGAGGTTATTGCCTATCTGGTAAGGAAAGGAGTAGTGTTGTCTTTTATTGGTTATGGTCATAAATACAGTTTTATTCGAATTTATTTCCATCTGCCAGTCGTGGCACCAATTTATGATGTGTTGAAGCGCATTATTTAGGTTAATCTGGTCATTTGGGTTATTTATTTGTGAGTAAAGTATGCAATCATCAGCAAAGAGGCGAATTTTTACGTTCACATCTTTGACCAGGTCATTTATGTATATTAGGAACAAAAAAGGTGCCAGTACTGATCCCTGTGGGACTCCCGATGAAACTTTGCCTTTGAATGATGAGTGTGCATTAAGTGCTACGTACTGGTAGTGATCGGAAAGGTAGTCTTCAATCCACCTGAGAATTTTTCCTGCTCCTAGTATAGATTCTAGCTTAAACAATAGCTTTGGGTGAGATACCTTGTCGAAGGCTTTTGACAGATCGATGAATATGGCGTCAACCTGTCCTCTATTGTTTATGACAGTGGAAAAATCGTGAATGCTTTCAACAAGTTGCGTCACTGTTGAAAGGTGACGTCTGAAACCGTGCTGATATGGAGTAAGTATTTGATTATTTTCGATGTGGGTGGAGACATGGTTCAGAACAATGTGTTCGAGCAATTTACAGCAAGTTGAGGTAAGGGAGATGGGCCTGTAGTTCGCAAATTCGTTTTTGTTTCCAGACTTATGAATGGGGATGACTTTCGCTAACTTCCAGTCTTTAGGAAGTTGCCCTTTGTTAAGTGATTGTGTAAATATTATAACAATCGAGCTCAAATCATTAATAAAAACATTGAAAAAGATTGGCCTAAGTATGGAGCCTTGCGGCACACCCGAAGAAGAAACATAAGGCCGGGAGTGATGTCCAAGAACACAAACAAAATTGTGTCTATTAGACAAATAATCTAGGAATAGGGAACAAAGGGAGGTACTCACGCCGTAGGATTCTAGTTTGTGTGCAAGGAGCGAATGGTCTACTAGGTCAAAAGCCTTAGAGAGATCAAAATATACAACGTCTACCTGTCCATGTTGACGCACAGTAGGCGAAACAAAGTTTAAAAAAGACACCAGATTTGTCTCAACAAACCTTCCCCGCATGAAGCCGTGTTGTGAAGGGCTTATCTTGTGCTTAAAAAAGTTTGAAATGCGTTTAAATAAAACAATTTTATAGATCTTAGCAAAGGAAGATAGCAACGACACAGGTCTGTAATTTTTTACGTCATCCGTTCTGCCATATGGAAGAGGAAGTGATGCGACGCTACGGTATGTTACGTGAGCTTCGCCACCAAATGTAACGTAACTGCGTAATCCATTTTAAAAATTTCGAGTTGTCTCTTCTAATCTATGCGATCAAGTTTGCTTTGTGTAGTGTGCTTCCCATAACTCTGATGGCAGCCTCGCGCTTACCAGCACGGGGTGGGATAATGGCAGCAGCAAATGGTGCAGCTAAAACGTAAACGAGAGCATTATGGGAATGAAATTTAATCCGATTGATATCATAAAATAAGCGTCAGTCGTGTAAATGAAACTGCACCAGCACTTTGCCGTCCACAAAAGTGCTGTTGTGTGTCCGGTGCAGTGGTGAAACTTGCATGTTCCTGCACTGACTGGACCTGACCACTCATGCTCACGAATGTTTGACATTTCTACCCATGGGCATATGACAACTGTTTTACGAGGTAAGCAAAATTAGAGAGCTGCTTACTGGCATGGTGTACCAAGTCGGTTTGGAACACCTTCGAAGACGCACCTGCTTCCATGTTTCTAATATTGATATCCAACTGTTGACTTGGTGATTGCTCAGACTAGACTTCCATCCCATTTCATCTTTGGATCTGTTGCAGTCTCAAGGGCCGGAAAGTATATAAATAAATATGAATGAGAAAACACCAAATAAATAAATATAGGAAGACATACACTACATACAAAGTTGCTATCTGTCTGATCTCTAGCGCTCCCCGAACGGGGAGCGCAAGTTTTTTTGTTTTCGCGGATTGTATGTTTTATTTTCCTAGTCGTCTGAAAAACGTATCTATGAGGTTCATTTGTACATACATTACTTTCTTTTGAAATGAAGTATTTAGCTGATTAGGACATTACATAATAATTGCGATCCAGGTGATTCACTAGGCACCAATAAAAGCACTAGGGAACTTTGATATATTCCTGTGCTAATGAGAATGGTGCGACTAATGGTGACAATTTGCAATAGTTACAGTGCAGGACACTAAGCACAATATACATGAGAATGCGTAGGAATTTTAACATAGTCACTCAGACGTGAAGCGAGGTGACCAAGAATGGCGACGCTGCTGATGACAATGTCTAATAGATTGTACACTGAGAGGACCCGCCTTATGACGCAGTTTTTGTTCGTTCTTTCTGGTATCTTTGTTCACTTGTTTGGTGTGCATTGCAGTGCCGTTCCTTTCCGCATCTAGTTTTGCCCGATTGCAAGTGGCCTGCTGGAAGCAGGCTGTAGTCTGGTCGGGAGGCCGACACACAGTGGCGTAGCCAGGAAGGAGGCTTATGGGGCTCAGCCCCTCTCCCCCCCAAAATCCAGCCGACCCTCTAATATACACACGACTTTTGGCCCCCCTTCCCTTTCTCCACACCCAAGTCATGGACATCCCGGCCACCTCAGCCCCCCCCCCCCCCCCCCCCAAAAAAAAAGACCGCATCTCCACGTAGTGAATGATGTTGGTTGGGGCGAAGCTCTGGTGGTGCTTGTCTGCGTAGACGCTGAGCCGCAACATGCCGAGCCTTTCGTTCGTTTTCATCCATGTCAGAAAGAGAATGCGTGGTATGGAACGTGGTTATGCCAATGCTTGCAAAGTTTAGCGCGATTATATACGCATTTGACCACAGCGCCCTCTCCTGCATAGACGTTTAGCGGCTACATGCAACGTTTCATCCATGACATCCCCAGCTCTTGAGTTACTACCAGATCTCGGAGCCCCCTACTCATCCTGCAGTCGTGGCCGAGTGGTTAAGGCGATGGACTAGAAATCCATTGGGGTCTCCCCGCACAGGTTCGAAACCTGTCAACTGCGCAAACATTTTTTTTTTCATCATTCTTTTTTGTTGTACACGAGCACGTGTTCACGTGTTCGTGAGCACGTGAGCTCACGAGCACGAGCACCAGCAAGATCGAAGTGAGTACGGAAGCTGGACGGACAAGGCTAGACCCTAAGGAGCTTCGCCCCTAAAAGAAATTCTTGTTTTTGCTACTGTCTCCGTGGACCGGTGTTCTGAGGCCCCTTTTCTAAGTGCCTAGGGCAGATTGTTGAGCTCGCCCTCGTACCTTGTGTGCAGCTGCTGTACTTCACGTACGGAACGAGGGACATCCTGGAGAAGAAGTGCAAGAACCTGCACCAGAAGGTGAGGCTTTGGCTGGACAACGAGGAGGTGGGGCTGCAGGAGCTGGAGGCCATCACGGTGCTCAACATCCCCAGCTGGGGTGCCGGGGTGCGTCCCTGGCACATGGGCGCAGGCGGGCAACTGGCACAGCCCCAGAGGTGAGGAGACCAAACGAGTCGGCTTGCTTTGTGCACCTTTGTGCGGAGCGAATGCGGTCGCCTCTTGGAACACGACACCATGTTTTACTGCTGGTTAGTGCAATGGAGCCACTAAACTGGGGTCTCTGGTGCACATTGCAGCATTACGGCTACTAGAGCAGGGGTTCCCAAACTTTCCTCCCCTTGTTGACATCGACGCAAAATGAAACATCAGTGTCGATGTAAAATGTGAAATTTATTTATTGTTTATTTTTTGTTCGTTAATAGCTTGAGTTGTGCAATATTTTAAAGTTGTAGGGTCGTCATCTTTGCTTACACACTATGTGATACTGGTCAGTGTGAGTGTTCCTTGATGCCATTGAAATATTACGGTGGCAAACATTGGAATGTGCTTTCAGTGAGTTAGGTGTCAACGTCTCAATTCAATACGTATAACTACTTCCAGCGCCATGACTCTAAGCCAATCCTGAGAGACAAGTGCACTGATCCAGCTGCTGAGGCTCTTGCAGTAGTCTCGAGCGTGATAAAAAACTTTCTGCTTAAACGTGTTTCTAGACTAAACAAGTTCCCTTTGTTGGTTTTCGAAGGAACTGAGACGTTGTTTGCAACAAAAGCTTCATTATCACTGTCCTTTTAAAAAATCAGGATTAGAGAAGTGGCAGAGTAAATTTACTAGTGAGTGTCATGCTTTGGCAAAATTACTTTTTATAAAAGACGAGCATGAGTCCAGTATGTATGCCAAAGCTAAGTAAGAGCTTTTCAAAATGTGTACTGACAAAAAAAGAAGCAAAACAGTAGCGTGGTTCCGATGCAAAATAACTCTGGTTTACATGTAATTCAAGTGAAATTGCAAACATGTTTGCTGAGCATTCTAAGTCATGTTTTTCATCAGCATCTGTTCCTAACTGTTGCACAACGTGCCATGACACAGCTGACACAGCTGATTTTTTTAATTTTATCGCAATTGACGAACCTGAAATCAGGGAAAGCATTCGTAATATGAAATCGAAGCTGTCTGCTGGTGCAGATGGAATCCCCAGTTTTATTGTAAAAGAGTGTGCTGAACTGCTGACTCCTGCCTTGTTATACATAGTATTTAATTTATCGTTATATTCAGGATTATTTCCTTCTATCTGGAAACGCTCCGTTGCTGTTCCAATTCACAAAGCGGGTGGTCGTAGCATTGTAAAACACTATCGTCCTGTTTCATTATTGTGCAGTTTTTTCCAAAGTCTTTGAAATGATAATGCATAAACGTCCGTACAGTTACTTTAGACATAAAATGAACCCAGAGCAACATGGATTCCTGGCAGACAAGTCTGTTGAAACCAATCTATGCTCGTTTCTAAACTATGCCGTTCAATTTGTTCGCGACCGTGAGCTAGTCGACGTAATATACTTCGATGTGACGAAGGCATTCGACAAGGTTATTCACAATACACTTCTGATTAAGCTAGATAGCTAGGGTTTGTGCTTGACTTACTGCCATTAGTTTAAAAGCTATCTTTCAAGCTATACGAATTATATTTGTCTGTCGGGATACACATCTGATTATTTTTTATTGTCTCCGGTGTACCCCAAGGAAGTAACGTGGGTCAACTTCTAGTTTTGATATTTGTGAATAACATTTCACTTTGTGTGGAAAATTCTAAATTGCTTTTGCTTGCGGATGACATCAAACTGTTTCAATGTGCAAAATCTCACTCCGATTGCATACTTCTTCAGGAGGACGCATCGGAAATTTCAAAGTGGTGTTCAAAGAATTATCTTTTGCTGAATGATTAAAAAACAAAAGCAATGTTTTTCACTAGAAAGTGTGATTCACTTGTATTCTCTTACACAGCAGGCGGCAGTGTTATCACCCAAGTGTCCGTCATTTGGGATCTCGAAATATTTTTTGATTCATCCTTAAATTTTAATTACCTTGTTTTAACTATCTGTAATGCCTCTTTTAGAAACCTTGGGGTGATATCTCGTTTCACAAGAAAATTTTCTTCGCCTGTTTGTCCTGAGCGATTATTTTGCTGCCTATTGCTCAGGAAGCTGGAGTATTCTTCTTTTGTATGGAATTGTATTAATCTCACTGCATCATGCTCTATTGAGCGTGTCCGAAAATGCTTCAAAGTCATAATTTATGACAGGTATTTTGACCACATTTGTTACTACAGCTATGAGCAGTTACTTATAAAACTTGGGTTGTGTACTTTGCTCGATAGAAGACGATTGCGTGATTTTGTTTTTACATAAGGTTGTGAACGGTGCTGTTGACTCACCACTTTTGTTAAGGGGGGACACTACCCAGAAAAAACAATTTCTACAAAAAAAAAGTTAATTTTGAAAAATGCCATATTTACATCTAGCATCATCTAGAGCAGGGAGGGCCAAGCTGTGGCTCGCGAGCCGCATGCGGCTTTTCTCGTGTTAAAGTGCGGCTTGCGGCTCCGTTCTCTACCCCCTACCCATCCGCCTCCCTCCCCGTCACACGAGCCCTTCTCCAAAAAGAGAAATGGAATGCGTTTTATATCAAAAGACACATTGTTGTTTGGTAGCCTTGTGCTACTGCTACCTTACGTACAGTTGGACTGCTTTTGACTCGGATAGATTGAAAGTGCTAGTTTGAGTTTTGTTTATTGCTCTGGGCAAAAGTTTGCCCCACTCCCCATAGCTCTTGGAGGTTTCATGGTTTTGTTTGCGGTTCCTAGGCCGAGTCAGCCTGGCCACCTCTGATTTTATTCCCAGACAGTTTCATTAGTCTACACTGCATAGTTAATTTTTTATAAATTATTTTTGGCCCACCGATGTTAAAGAGAAGGTAGAGATTGGAGCACTTTGAAAGCATTTTTCTCCATTCCACTTTTTGGCATAAATTTCAATTTAGGAAAACTATTGTTTGTTAATGGGGCATTAAGAAAGACACACTCATTATTTTTCCTAACTGGGATTTTATGGGCAACGCAACTGTGGAATTGTATTTTTACTTTCTGGATGTCTTTTATAAAAGATGTTAAGATTTTGTCGACAGCATAAAAGGCAAAACATTTTTTTTCCCTCTGTGATGTTAGCATAAACCAAATTACTTTTTGGAAATTTTGTTTTCACAGTTGCTCTCTCGAGGCATTCTGTTGCAGATCTAGTGTTGAAGAATATTAAATATTACATTAGTTTTCCAACTATAGCTTTCCTAAACAAAGTCACTGTGTTCCTGGTAAAAATGACTATGATTTCTTTTACAATTCATGTATACAGATGAAACTTTGCACTGCATTCCTCCTTGCAACTGGCAGTATATATACTGTAAATTTAATTCATATTCAGTCAAAGGTTCAAAAGTCGACCCTTTTGGGTAATGTCCCCCCGCAGTGTCAATTTTCATGCTCCCCTGCGATCCAATCGATTTCAGAATCTTTTTACCTTTCTGCTTCGAATGACATATCACCACAAACGAGAATGCAACTTGAGTTCAATGAGCTGAATCAATCTGTTGTAGACATTTTTAGCGATCTGATTGTTTTTTGACATAAGCTTTAGTCAATTATTTGTACATTGTTATAACCTTGTTTTGTCGCCTGCATTTATTCTTGATGACAAGCAATGTACCACTATTTAGGCTTTGTGCTGTCTTTGGACACCCAACAAAAACAAAGATTATTATTATTATTATCTTTGAAGTTTGTCGGACGAAATGGGTTCAGTAAAGTACAAAACGGAGGGCAATAGGATCCTGTACTTTGAGATGATACTGGGAGATCTAAGCGACGTCAGACGAGTCGGGCGCCACTTCTGTAGAACAGAACTTTTGGCAGAGTGGCTGAATTTAATTGTCAAAGTTTTGGTCTGCCACTATGTGCTGCACGGGTGATTGAAACGGTTGAATGTACGTCGGGAGGTATGTCGGCACACCTGGAACTAGCGGTAACAGCAGGATTAAGCAGTGGGACATCATTCTTTTATTTATCAAATTGTTTCTCGATTTATTATGGCGCCAAATTGTATTAGGAAAAGTTCTTGCCCTGCATCTTATTTTCAAGCGGTTTTTAGCGGTCTTTTCTGAATCCCTGTCACAGGTTTTTGATTTTTGAGTCGGCATCGCTGCATAAGTCGATAAGTCGGGGGCCCTAACGTACATAGCGGGACCAAGTTATCGGAAGATTGCTGCCCGCTGCGATTGGCCAGCTCCGCACCGCCAACCAATTGCACTAGGCAGCAATGTCCCGCTCCCTCCTGTCCCCGCCACGTAGAATAAAGCCCCTTATCTCGCAAATACCGCAAAACCTTCAGTCCAGATGGCGCCGGGGTCCCAGTGTATTCTCTCACAAGTGGTCCCAAGTACTTGCAACTTAGTTGACCACACTCTAACCCAAATGTGCAAACCAGCCTTAACGTGATGAATAGCTAGCACTGCAAACGAAAAGGGAAAAGAATCCTACGGGGGTACTTCGTAACCTTGGGCAATGCTCTTGGCATCCACCTCTCGCACCAGCGTTAAGGCCGGCCTCTGAATTTCTGCACTGGCAAACATGGGACGCCTCGTGATGTGCGCGGCGAAGAAGCTAAGATCTCTTCAAAAGCACTCTTGTGAACCCCAGACGTCGTAGATGGTAGACGGCAGGACGAGAACGGCAGGGCGTCACTTTGGGAAGCTCAGTCTCCAGCGTGCATTCGTCGCCTTCCGACGGGCTTTTATTGTGTAAGCATTCTTCAAGCTCACTAGACGCCAAAGTGCTACCGAAGATAGGATCGCACTGAAGGCGGGACAACTGAAAGACCTCCCTGCTGTTCTCGTCTTGTCAGGGACTACGGAAGACAGGGCCAGCCATTCAAAGGGCTCGGTGAACTTCTTTCCGACAGGTGCGACGACGGCCTGCTCGAGGTGATCGGCCTGTACTCCTCGTTCCACGTTGCACAACTCCAGATCGGCATGTCCGAGCCCATAAGACTGGGACAGGCCAGGGAAGTCAGGGTGAGTGGGGTTGACTTTGGGAGCAACTGCACTTCGTCTTTAATTTTTTTTTGTTACCGTCAGTTTATCTCGCACAGTAAAAGGGTACCGTCGATTATTAATCGTTTCACTCGCATTCCGAACATAGGTGGTGGAGCGTTACGTGAGCAAAGCTCGCTTTTAGTCGGTGAAAGTCTTGCATTAGTTTGGTGACCCTAAAATGTGGTGAAAAATGCACAAAGGGCAAAGAAGGAACACACGTGACGAACAGGTGCCGTCTCTTCCCTTTGCCCCGTCTTTTGTGCGCCATTTTGCATAATGTTTAACAATCGCCGACTTGACCGACTTACCACCCTACTGCAGAGGGAGGGAGAATAGACATTTTTGTTCTGTCCTTTTATTCCCTGATGTTGGCGACCAATTTCTGGTAGTTTCTAATGTTGTCCACCAGGAGCCTCCCAAGGGGGCCAGGGAGGGGGTGGAGCAGTCCATTTTTCATTCCTCCCAGCTCTCTGGGTGTTCTTTTGGTAGGGTTGAGAGTGTTTCTTTTAGTGTCTGTTGGGCGTCTCGGGCAGTCTAACTGGATGTGGATGTTGTTCCGGTTATAATGAAATCTTTTGTAACGGAATCACTTCTATCAAAGGTCAATGTGGTCCCAAATAAAATGCACGCATTTTGAACCGCATTAGTACTTGGTGTGCATGGTTGGCTGACTGTCATCAGCCAACCATGCACATCACGAAGGTCAAGGTGCCGAAAGCATACAAGCCTACACAGAGGTGCATGGATACCCTTTCGTTCCCTCCCCACCCTCTACTGAGGCAAACCTTCTGCCAAGGTCGCAAATATCTTTTCTGTCATCAGCGTTGGATAGTTGTCGACCTCCAGACAGGGGTTGACTGTGGACTTGTAGTACCCTATTTATACGATTCAGGGGCAGATCCAGGTTTTGTTTAAGGGGGGGGTCCAGCAAGGGCCCGGGAAAGGGGGGGGGGGGGGGGGGGATAGACCCATCATTCGACCGCGGAAGCCGGGCATCACTCCCTGCTCTCTCTCCCCCCCTCCTACTTCCCTCACCCATTAAATGCTTATTGGCTGGGGAAAGTGCTACAGGCGCCGACACAGATTGACCGCAATTATGTTGTGATAAATTGTATCAAACCTTTGCCTTTTTTGAGAGAGGAACAATGAATATTTGCGTTTTATTAAAAACATGACGGGATTAATGGAAACAATGTACAGTTCTGTTATGGTACTGCTGTCGTACTTCAGTCGTACATCACGCATGCACTAAACATCCGATGCTGATGCTTTCTGATGAACGCCAGACAAATCGCTTTGGTGTCTATCGGAATGTCTTGATGGACATGCATTAGAGCAAGTCCAGTGAAACGTTCTTTTGTCATTGTGCTTCGCGTGTAGGACTTGACTCTTCGTAGAGCAGAAAAACTCCGCTCTGCCTCGGCGCTTGAAATGGAAAGCGTGCATCCAATTATTAATAGCTGACGAATGTTCGGGAACACGTCGCCGTCGGTGCTGCACAAGGTATCACGAAGATCCTCAGGAACGCTGTGCAGAGTCTGAGTCCTCCAGAATCTACACCACTCCTGGAGCTCGTGCCGCAGCGATGACGGAGACGGGAGATCCTCTTCCCAGAACAGAAGCTCTTCGTGAAGAGACCGCTCTAGAGTGTCCGGGCCATCACTCAATATGTACGATGGTAGTAAGCAAAATATTGCCTTGCCTACCCTTTCCTCCTGAGCAAATCGCGTATCCATCTCTTGGAGCATGGGGTCAATAAAAGGAACTGCCGTGTTGGTTCTGTAATGCTCTTCTGGAGATGAGGACAGATTGTTCGAACGGTGAGCTTGACGAGCAACTACTCTTGGAGTTTGAATTTCGGTCCCAACAAGATCTGCCAGCTTGACGGAGTCGTTGAACCACGATTTAAACTCTTGCTCGACTTCACACCGCAGCGCCCGAAGTCTAGAGATGGTAGAATCAATCATACCATACGCGTCGATGACATCCCGATCCCGTTTCTGAAGCTTCATGGCAAGGGGCTTCACGACCTCCAAGGCATTTTTTACAATCATAAAAGATACGATCGTATCCGATGACTTCAGATTGACGAGTAGGCCGGCCGCCCTCATCTTGGTGTCGCGGTCCCAGGACCACTGCTCGGCGGGCGGAAGGTCACGTGAGTCATCGGTGCTAGCTTCGATGTCAGTTCGCGCGTAAACATGGCGGTGTTGGTCGGGCACAGTCATAGCTTCTAAGCAGAGCCACACGTAGTGGTACAGGTTATAAAACATATCCAGTGCTGTGTGTCGTTCTACCCATATTGTGCGACACAAACCGCAAAGCCTCCTCTTCGCTTGTTCTGAACCGTATGCCTCTAGCACTCGTTCCAAGAAACGTTGCCTCTTCGGAGACATGTCAAAGAAGAAAAATACCTCATTGATGACGTCAACGGTGAGGCACACTTGCGGAATCTTGCAGGCTGTTGCGATGCTTAGGTTTAACCTGTGATTGCTGCAGCGAGTGTAGAGAGCTTTTGGGGACGCCTCTTTGATTCTAGCTTGGACACCAACCCGGGACGATGACATCACTGCCGCTCCATCATATGACTGTCCCCTTGCTTTTGTAATGTCCACGTTGCAAGCAGCCAAGCTTCGGATGATTGCGGAAGCCAGTGATGCCCCCGTGGTTCTCTCCATGTGCACGAAGTCAATCACGCTTTCCTTTATATGAACTCGCTGGTTCTCAAAGACGAGATAACGTAAACAGACACACAAAATTTCTTGGTTCGAGTGCCGGCCGGTAACCTCGTCAGCGATTATTGAAAACACTCGCGACTCGCCAGCTATCTTTTCAGCAATCGATGCTTGGATGTGAGTTTTTATGACATCAATCAGGTCATTCTGGGTTGTTTTTGATGTGCCCTTCGCATTTCGTGCTGCTGTATCGAGGTGCGTCCTCAAGCGCGAGTCATGCTCAGCTATTAAGTTGACAATGGCAATAAAATTGCCTCGGTTGGTTGGCGCATTCGTCTCGTCGTCGCGATGGCCACGAAGAGGGATATTTTGTCGTCCGCAAAGTAGAACAGCCTTCACAAGCACCTCAAGGATGCACAAGTTCTTTTCATACAGCTCCTTGTTTTTGTTAGAGATCATGACAGGAATAGTGGCATCTGGCCTGTCCAAACTTGACCTTAGCGTCATAGCCTGAGCCATCGCATCGCTGTGGTAGCGAAGGCGTTGATGGCATTCAAGAAAGCCATCTTTGCCACCGGCCTTGGACAAGTTATTTAGTGGCTTGCTGACTAAAACACCCGCTTTGGCGACACGTGGATCTCGGGGAGAGAAGAGTACACAATATTTGCATAGCCCGCCACGCAGGTGGGGGCTGTACACTAGCCATCGGTATTTTTCCAGCCACGAGTGCTGAAATGTCAAAGTTTTTTCTCTTTTCGCTGTTCCTTTTGTAACAGTTTGCTTTACAAATGCGCTGTAGTTCAAAGGAGGCACGAAGTGGTTTGAGATGTAGTGAAGCTTTTCAGTGCCTTCCAGCGTTACCAAGGGCACGCTCCCATCTGCAATAAAACCACAGTCTACGGATGTTTCCTTACTTGATGGAACTACCTCCGTGCGTTGTCGTTTCGGTGGTTCCGGCCAAAGCTGTTCTTCGGACTGGTCCGGTGTGTCGGACCCTGTCTCCTAAGTCGCCAGACGGCTGGTTGAGGCACTCAATAGTTGGGAATCCTCACAATTGCCGACACTTAGCGCAAAATAAGACGTCACTTTACGCTGCATCACTGGAGCTGGACACACTCAAACAAGACTATCCGAAAATATTCATTATTGGAAGAGATACACCGTGGACGCGAGGACCCATTGCTTTTTGTACGGCAGCTGTGTCTGAAGGCTGGAGTCTGGACGTGTGCAGAGACGGAGACTTTTTACAGCTTTTTAGAATGGACCTTTTTGAGTAACTAGCGCCGTCTGGGGAGCTGTCTGCGAACTGTTGGACCTCAGATCTCCCTTGCGGAGACGAGTCAACGCGCCAACCCCCGGTCACAGTCCGAGTTTCGCGGCGCTGACAATAGCATCGCCACTGTCAGTGGCGCTGTGTATAGCGTCGCCATTGACAGCCGCGCTTGGGTGGTGGGGGGCTCTCATTAATATAAAAATACAAATATAAAGCTTTGTTTGCTAACAGTAATTTCAACAAAACGTCTTCACCGCGCCATGAAAATCAATTGTAATCTATTTGATATAATTATTTCTGTTTGTTCCGTTTTCGGTCTGAAACCAAAACTCTAAACTGACCCGCTCGCCTCGCCGGCGCCCTGGGCCTTGGAAGGCGCCGCTGCTCCCCTCGCCCAAATTTGAAACTTCGTAACGGCGGACGGCGGTGTCGCGTGGTTTTGTTTACCCAAGGGTCGTGCAAGCGTGCTTCCACGACCCTTGGGTAAGAAACCATAGTTGCGGTCGCGTAAGCTGAGAAACGGACCGTCGTCTTTTTCACTGGTGTCCGGAGAGCTTAGCTGGCTGGCTAAAAAAAAACAAAAAAGGGGGGGGGGGTCCGGACCCCAGGACCCCCCCCCCCCCCCCCCTGGATCCGCCCCTGCGATTGTAGGTCGACCCATCCTCGTGCTTCTGGTCAGAGTGTCGAACCGAAATTTTTATCGGTTCAGTTTCGGTCCGGGTTCACGGCTTTCGGTTCAGCTCCGGTTCAGTTCCGGGCAGCAAAAAATAAAGGTTTGAACCAGTTCGAACCGGTTTGAACCGCTAAACTGAAAATATATTTTCTGCGTTCCTTTGGCAATAGGCACTGTTTCAAGAGTGGAACGAGTAACTATGTAGCCTTTTATCTTTCATAGAGTCCTCTTATTTTCAGGTACCAAAAATAACTTGCATTGGTATTTAATTTTGATGAAACAGTAAATGAAAAGCTAGATTAATATATATGACTCAATATCTATTTTTTTACCCCAGTTTCATATATTTTATTTTAATCTAAATGTTCTCAGTCAGGTGGGTCGCCTAAAATATGCGCGATTCGTACAACTTTGCGTCACAGTATTAAAAGTTGAATCCTGCAGTTGTCTTGCACTTAGAAATTAATTACGGCACATCAAATCATAAAATGGGTGCACCATATATATCCTGAAATCTATATAATAGTTTATATGTTTCACAATATATATATGATGACGACACAACTGAGCTAAAAGCAATAATACCGTATTTTCAAAATATCAGGAACCTTTTAGGACAACCTCTTTCAGTCTACCTTTTATAGAAACACTGAGCGGCAAGCACAACGCTTGCTTTCCTGACCAATATTGTTTACACTCAGCACCGTGATGCAGGCGAAAAATCATGCAGAAAAGAGGGACCTTCGTATTCAGATGGGATCTGACCTAAAATAGAGCATACTGGAGTGAACATATTCCACATAGCTTTGCGTGTGAGGTTTGTTCTTGACAAGATGCCGGTCAATTCAATTTGCAAATAAGCGTCACCTTTGCTATTTCTTTTTGTTAAATAGAACAAAGAAGTTTTTCATAGTCTACTCGACATTGCAGCTACTTGATTGGTCACTTTCTGACGGTCTGCTGTGCAATCATCACAATTCCACCACACGCCTCTGTGGACTTTGTTTTCATATAGCCCGCAGACACATAAAATTGTTGTTTATGAAATAAAAGAAGCAAGAGACTTCCATATGTCTGAGAAGTTGAATATGCGTCGGGAACACAATTTATTTAAATCAGCTTAAAGGGCCCATGAAACGATTTTTCGGCTGGGATAATTGAATTTAGGCTGGGATTTTACTAATAACACTTCGTTTAGTGGGCCAAAAGAAACAAGGCAGAAAGTCAAAAGGCTAATTTTCAGTACAAAAATTTGAAAACACAGCATACTATTTCATAGCTTCTCCCCTTCGAAAGCTCTCTGCCTTTTCACTGTGATACATCCGCAATACCCAAAGCGCGTCACCCGGCCCAAACACATGTCACACAACAGTGGGACCTCATTTATTCCCTTCACCCCTAAGCTGACAGTGCAGTGGAAGCTATGCGCTTGCCGGACCAATCAGCCATCTCCCTTTCATCACCTGACGTCATTCTCTATTCTCGAGGGAGCGTGATCACGCGGCAAAGTGTGGCTTGCCCAAGGAGCACGTAGTTTCCACAGCACTGTCAGCTTCGGGTTGAACGGGGTGGGGAGAGCAACTTTCGTCTGAGTTTTGAGCGACGGGCTAATCTTCTAGGGGGAGAATGGCAGTGTCCGGGCACACAAACGGGAGTCCGAGCATGAGGGGAGTCCTTCCTTTCTGTCTTCTTGAACTGTTTGGCACAATTCGTGATTTGTGGGTTGAGAAGAAAAGCTAAGAAGGAAAAAGATAAAAAATTGTTTCGTTACCCCTTTAAAAAAAAAAATTGTTTTAGGTTTCTCCCAAATCATTTATACACGTGCCTCTGAGGATAAAGTCGGAAAAGATTTGCAGAGCATATTTAAGATAATTTGGGGGCACATTTACTTATGATGTATATTTTTAGGTTGATCGACCCATTATTTATGTTGTCAAGTCTGCAGGCAGTAATAAAATGTTTGTTATTGTCATCAATGAATATGACTGTACGAAGTTCACACAACCGCTTGAGGCCGACACGGGAGGACGATACTCGAAACTACGCCATCTGTTGAGTCTGCGGAATGTGCTTTTTTGTTCGCTGTTTGGCAGTGTGAAACACCAGGTCGCGGGGTATGTCAAAAATTTGTGTGTGCTCACGTTATAGATCCTTAGGCAAATACACAAAATGTGCAGAAAGAAAGATAATAATTGATAGTCTTCTAAATAATACCATTCACGACGACTTACTGTAAAAAGAAATATTTGTTCCCCCCTGCATAATGCCTAACGGCGAAGCAGGTATTTGTGTAAAATAAAAATAATAAATATACAGATGCATGTTTTTAACGTAGATACGTTTGATGAAACTCCGTCTTGTTGGGTCAAAAATTTGAGAAATACAGACTTTCACAAACCAAATCCCAAACATTTAGTGGCCGAACGTTTAAACGGTTGTTGCACGCTCTTGTTTCGATTTTATTTTGGTTCAGACCAAGGACGTCATTAACAAGAGAAAATGTGCTCAAAATTTTAATCTTCTTTTACCTGTTATGTTCAAAATACACCAGATTTCTTGTTTATTTTATTCTTAATCTATTGCTAGAGTCCCAGTCACTAGTTTAAGCAAAAGCGATGCAAATTAAAAAAAAAAAAAAACGAAATGGCAAGGAACGTTTTGCATGGCCTCTTCAAGTCCAGATGCAGCCGATGCTACAAGCGCGAGCATGTGGTCCTGACCACCACTTGCACTGCAGGAGCGCGCATACTTGGATGCTGAAAGCCCGGAGCTGGCTCTTTTAGCTTCTGCTACGCTCACACTTAAAGTGAAACGGAGTATTGGGTTGAGAACTTCATATTTCACCAGAAAACTGAACCGTGACATGGTTTGCACGTGGCATCATCGCACTATATGCTATGCTTCGTTTTAGCTAACTACAGACGAAGCCGATGCTCTAAGCGCGAGCTCCGGACTTTCATCGTCCCTGTCAAACACGCGTGATCGTGCACTGCAAGCACTGCTCAGGGCCGCATGCTCGCGCTTGTATCATCAGCTGCGTCTGGACTTTAGCTGAAACGAATTATGGTGGTCAGAAACTTTTCCTTGCTGAGAAAATCGTATCCCGTGGTGCAAAATGCATGCTGCAGAAGGTTCGCGCTCAGTGCAACCCCTGTATTCAGAAACAAAAATTATTCTTGCTTGGTGCAGCGTCGTGAGGAACGGTGCAAGCGACTGGCACCACGAAAACGCACTTTCTGGCAGGATTGATTTTCCGAACGAAGTAGTTTTGCAGGATCATGCCTACTGCTCTGTGCCAAGGATGTGGAGCAAAGGAGCCTTTACAACAAAGCATGTTTTTAACCCCCCTTTTCATTTGACAATGCTCCTCCAGAGAAAGCTTAATTTTTAAGGAACTCCCTCCGTTTGGGGGTACCGATTCGACAATTATATTTGTGCCATTTGTTAACAGTAACCCTCCATTTCTTTTATTTCACACCCAAAAACTGTGAAGTTTAAACAAGACTGCGAGAATTTGAGTGGCTGCTGACGTTCGGCTGTCCCTCAAAGGCCACTAGAATCTTTCTGTTCAGGTATCCCTGCCGTACACACTTGTAGTTCTATCTATCGTCAGATTAATAAGCCATATTTAGTCCTTTCAATGCTTCTATTCTTGGGGACAACTTTCTCAGACAGTTCAGCAAAAACGAAAACATGTTTGGGTGCCACAATGGTGTGTACATGTAAAATGGTTCATGCAACAATTTTTGTACTTTCAGTAAACACCGCTAAAAAGTAATCCTTGACGTTGATAGCTTGCAAAAACACCCATCAGTTTTCTTCTCCGCTCAATGGCAGACGCAGAAAAAATAAAGAAAAGAAACAACTTTTTCCTCCTCAACTTGTTATTAGGCGACGGTGTAATTTGACGCTAGTTATATACCGCCAGTGTTCCTCATAGTCATGCGCTGGGATTGGCAAAGAATAAAGCATGGGTTGAACTTTAGACATTGTTAGAGTTCAGCTATTCTCATCTTTGATTGAACACGAGTCAACACGAATGTTTGGCGATGCAGATTGTCAAGAACCCGAGCACTCGACTCGGGCTCATGACAGTCGAGTACGTCTCAGTGTCACATGACTCGCAATGGGGAGTCGTGATGGCACGTGACGTCACGGTGCCAACAACGCTAATGCATCCATAGTGAAGGTAGGGCGAAGGAAAAGAAGGCCGGGGAAGAGGACGCAGACGGAATGCTGGAGAAGAGAGGGGGAAACCTCCTCCTCCCTCCAGCGTTTCGTCTGCTTCCTCCTCCCCGGCCTTCCTTTCCCTCGCCCTACCTTCTTGAGTTGCAACGGACTATAATGACGTTTTGAATTTAAGTCGACTTGACGAGGTGAGTCATGCGACTATGTCGCGGGGCCACGTGACGTGACATTGTGTGACAACATGTCTTGACACCTTGATGGCTGGTGACCACATGACACATGATTAATCATAGTGCCAATACAAAAGTGCCATGAAAACCCACAATTTCTCATACATTGCAATTCGGTATATGACAGTTTGATCACTAAATATAAATACAGCTGCTAACTTTTACTCTCAAACACTCATTTTGTGATAAAAAAGAAAAATTACCGTGAACCGTTTTAAACCAGTTACCGTTATATTTTTTTCCGGTTCAGTTCCGGTTAAGTTCCAAGACGGCGGCGAAGAGTTCGGTTCAGTTCCGGTTCGGCTAAAAACAATGGTTCTGTTCCAATTTGTGGTTCAATTTGCTTCCGGTTTGACACCCTGCTCGTGATGTCCTTCTTTAACACCCTGACGCCAGAGCACTGGTGCGAAGCAGTGTAGCGTGACGCAAGAAATTGGAGAATTCTCAACACATTATTTGTCATTTTTAATACTAATTAACGAGCTTGAGTCTTGGACAGTAAAAGTGTGCCACGAATCGAGCGGAATAGCAGTCACCATTTTCAAACTATATTCAAAGTTTCGGACACTTGCACACCTCTAAATAGAAGCTTTTGTTAGAGCTAAGAGTAAATACCGAATGCAGTTACATGGTATGGATTAGCTTGTTATGGGCTGTCTCGTTGCAGGTTGCCTTATTTCAGGTGGTAAAGAGTGTAATTGTTCCGAAATTTCTCTTACGCCAGATGGAGCTCTCAGAGCGGCTGCCAATGCAAGTGGATGGGGAACCCTGGGAACAAGCACCGGCCACCTTGAGCTTCACATTCCACTGTCAAGCTTCCGTGCTTGTGAACCAGTCTGGCCAGTTGTGAGGGCATTTCGTTACAACAGTGGGTAGAGTTGTGGAAGTCGTCTTTGAAGCCAGACACCCACTGTTTTTGCTTGCACAAACTTTACATACCTGGTCGACGTACGTGACTGTGATCTTATCCTCCAGAACTGTAAATACCGAATGTTGTACTGGACGTCGAACTACGTATCCCAACGGAAGAAGCTAGAGCCACTAAGTGAGCTACACTTAAGAGTATCGATGCTTTAGCCATCTTGGTGCTCAAGGCCATTTTCTCTGAAGCTTTATCTGAAATCGCACAAAACGGTTTTCCGTCTGCCAGAAGTTTTAAGCTCTGCGACTGTGCGCTCCACAGCGACGGCGCCTGAGCTTCTAGACATAAAGTATAGAGCCCAAGAAGTTGCATTTCCGAACCACAACGATCTCTGGATGCGCCCACCCTGCACTGGGCACCAAAATGATGGCACCAAAATGATGGCACCAAAATGATGGCACTTGCAAGAAAACGGTGGAGTTTCAGTACTCTTAAGTATAGCTTGTTTTGTGGTTCTAGAAGAAGCGATTTGGTATTTTGTGCAAGCATGGCCACGTAAGGTGCTGGGAGGATTGTATCCCTGGAGATGGCTTTTTCGGAACTTTGCGAAGCGGTCTGTGTTCATTCCATTTTGCGAAAATGCCTCATGACGTAGGTTTGGAAGCGAGAGAGGGCCATTTTTTTTTTTGTGTGAATACTCGCTTGGGAGTTTCTGGGGAAGGAACTGAGCAGTGGTATTCCTTCAAAACCCCACTGTCTGAGAAAAGGTTCTTTGCTTTAGAAGTGCAGGAAATGCTTGCTAACTCATTCCTTCTACTATTAAGCTTCCAATTAGGGGTGTGTGAATACCTAATAGTAATTCTCGAATCAAATACCGAATCAAATCAAGAAAAAAAAATATAATGCTGAATACTGAATTTATTCAACATGAGCTCACATGTTCACGAATTTTCCTGCAAAAAAAGCAGCTGTTGCACGTGATCTGATGTCAACTTCTCCCGCCCCGATGTCACAATGTTACCAGCCATGGAAAACAGCTTCTCACTGTGTACACTTGCTGCCAAGATGGCGAGGTACTTCATGGTCGACTTGCACAGCCCAGGGAAGTTGCACTTGATCATTTCTTTCCAGAATGTCGGAGGATCTTGGTCTTTACTGCAGGTAGATTCTTGAAGCTACCGTTGAAATTCCTCAATTTTACCCCTTCCACAGGAGTGCTTTCTTACAGATGCTGTTGCCAGCTTTTCAATGTTTTTCCAGATACTGCAGGCACCTTCCTTGTGGACTCTAGATATTGAAACATTGGCACAGTCACTCGATACTCTTGGTGGGAAAGTCTTGCAGCTCAGCTTTCACAAGACTCAAAAGTCTCATTTCTTGGAAGGCTTCAGTGCAAAAGATGCTCCTAAACCTTGAATCGCATGCTGTTGCGATAGTATACTCAAGAGGAGGAGAGGAGGAGATGGAGAAGGAGGCAGACGACACGGAAGAGGAGGAGTGTGCAGAAAGCACGGTACAGTGAAACTTGTTTAGAATGAACCCACACACAGCGAATTATTGTCCATATTGAACTCGAGGAAAATTTAAGTAAAAATGCATGTAAAAAGTACTTTTTATTGCAAACAACATATGGGCTACATCAAACTTTTTTCTCCCGGGAAGGGTTTCAAAACGCGCAAACAATCGTCTTCTAGCCTGTCCCTTCCCCCAAAAAAGAAGTAAGAAAGAAAGAAAATTCCAAAAGCTCAAGTTGCAAACAAAATTGAGCGAAGAGAAGCCATTCAGAAGGGGAGAAAGCTAAAAAATACACTTTGCACGCACGCGCAGAAAAAAAACAACTTTTCATTCCAAAGCATTTGCCCACGAAGAGAAGCGATTCAGAAAGGAAGATAAAATAAAAAAAACAAAAAAACTGCACGCATGCAAAAAAAAAAAAAAAAAAGAGCTTTTTGGTGCATTTTCACAAGGTGGAAGTGAAGAGATGAGAAAGAAAGAAAGAGAAGCTCCCGCCTTACAACGAATGCATCGTGGAAGTTCGTTCTAAATGGTTTTTGCTATATCGAACTACTTGCTCTATCAAACTGATCATAGCGTTTTCTGCTGTTCGTTATAAATGGGTTCGACTGTATGTCGCAAAATGAAAATACAGTGAGAGCTGTGCTCTAATTTTTTCATTACAGAGATCCGTAAACGTCTTTAATTTTTTTATTACTCAGATCTTTGGTCGCTGATGCGATTGGCTCTAGGGCTTTCACAACCCCAGCCACCTTTTCTCACTCCTGTGGTGCCAGGTCGGGCAGCATTGTCTCGGGAGTGGCAAGGTCGAGGCAGTCAGCTTCTTTAAGCTGCAGAAGACGGGAGAGCATTTCATGTTCTCCGTTTTAGCTGGTTTCCTTGACCTGGATGAGTTTTAGCAGGGGGATCTCCGTACGCTGCTGGCAGTCCTGCAGTCTTGTTGTGGGTTGGGCACTGTGTTTGTAGTGGTCGACAATTGCACGGCATTTCTTGAGAATGGTAGGAACTCCTGCAATCTCTTTCCTTGGCATCCTTTATGGCCACCTGCAGTGCATGGCCCATACACTGCATTGGGATACACAGAAAGCTTCTTAGAGCTGCTGAACATTTTGTGCGTTGTCTGTCACAACTTAAATGAGTACCTTCTGCCGTGACTGCTCCTAGTCGTCCACCATAGTCTGCAGGTACTCCAGGATATTGGAGGCAGTGTGGCTTTCAATGGTAAGCTGGTTTGCAACTGTATAAGCTCTCCTTTCGAAGCCAGAAGTCGGGCAGTGGCAGGTGAGGCCGATGTAGCATTGATTAACTCTCGAGACCTACACGTCGCTCGTAGATGAGATAGATTGTGCACCTTCCTCGATGTCCACACGCATTTGTTCCTTCACAGCCTCCACGATGACTGAGTACAACTTGGGGATGATCATTCTGGAAAATGTACTGCGGCTAGGAGCCCCGTGGAGTGGTTCCATGTGATGCATTCGCTATCTGAATCCACGACTTTCAACACTGTCGTACGGTTGAAGGTTGAGATCCGGCATCCAGACAATCCTGGTGGTTACTTCCGTTCCCTTACGCTGCGTCAACTCCTTTCCGGGCTTCATTGCACTTTTGATAGACAGCTGTGAGGCACCCGCTGTCCTTTGCTTGCTTTTCACTTTTTGTTACAAACGAACTGTGCAGCAAACAATGTTTTTTCTATTTATTTATTTATTTAGAAATACTGTTCACTGCTTTTAAGGGGCTTCAACAGGTGTCGGGAATAAAAGATAGCAGAAATATACAAAACATGATCCGCAATCCAACATGGTTGCTCCACAACATTTCAGTAAATATGAGTGTGAACGGTTGAACGGCATAAGCGATACCAAGTAGACACGTGCATGTAAACAAAGCACAAAAAATATTAAAATATTTTGCACATCCTATCAATTCATAGCAAAAAGAACTAGTATTATCACAATCTGTGGAAAAAACAATTTATGGCAAGGCTAAACGATTAAGGCCCCCTATTACGGCATATACACTACTAAGTGCGGCAAAATGCAGTGCAAAGCGTACACCCGTGCCTGCGTACACCCGCCGGCAAAGTGTACACCCGTGCCTGTGTACACCCGCCGGCAATATGAAGGTGAACACCTTACCTGACTTTTTGCCTGTTTTACGGCTTTCTAAAGCTATATTAACTCTCAACGTCTCACATGGTACGTGGCTTGGGGGTCTAAACTTTGCATTTTAGCCCTCTTCTGGAACAGAGCTTGTTCCAAAACTTGCAGGAGCGTCAAAAACAAGAAGAGGGCTGTTCATCTTCATATTGCTCACGGGTGTACATGAATTGTAAAATAAATTAGTCATTTGTAGAGCCCTGCGTGGATAACAGTTTGATTATCCGCATCCTATCTGCATCCACAGACTTTGTATCTGTATCTGAACCGCATCTGCAAACGTTTTACATTATTGTATCCGTATTCGATCCGCATCCGCATAATTTGTATCCGTATCCGAACCGCATCCACATAATTTGGAACCACATCCGACTCACAATCCAGGTATTCCTTGTATATCATAACATCAAGCATGAACGAAAAAAGAAAAGAAAAATGCAAAAAGAATTTTTAAGTTGTTTGCTTATTTTTGTACAAATAAATCTCTGGGTCACCATTCAATGGGGATATCATTTTATCATCAGTTTCATCGTATTTATATTAAAAGCGATCAGTCTTCCCGAGACACTGCGCGTCGAAGCAAAATTTCTCTCAGTTATGTGATCGTCCTTGGAGTCCGCGACACTCTGCCTGGTGAAAGTCTTCCGCTCTTTCCCTGCCAATGTACTAGCTTTCTCGGGACGATTGATGCCCTGCATTCTTTACTTTTTTTATAGATTGCATTTTTGATGAGATGGAACACACTAACTGAAGTGATCTTCGGTGAGAATCAGATCTTTTTTAGGATCCCTATTGTTTCTTCGAAACGCGTTTTGTGGAAATATGTTTCGTTTACAACTTTTCATGTACATACTTTTCATGGACACACGGTTTGTCGATTCTGTATGTTTCGTGGGCACATGCCCCTATGACGTTTTGTCGACAACGCATTTCTTCACTAAGCCGCTGAAAACCTAGCGCGCGATTCACTAAGGCGCGAAAAGCTAGCACGCGATCCACTAAGCCACGCTTAACCAAACCATACCCCCTCCCCCTGTAATCAAGGCGAGACGCAAAAAGTTTGTTACGAAAATAGCAGGGTTGTGTGTGACGAAAAATCTCAACTTTTCTTAATAACTGCCCAGTGGCAATCAGTCGACGAACTGAATGCCACCGGGCAAAAATTTAGATCCGGATCCGCGGATATCCACATCCGGCAGCCCTTGACATCTGCATCCGATTCGCAATCCGCCAAAATTTGTCTAATTTTTATCCGCATCCACCAGTTCATTCCGGATATCTGCGGATATGCAGGGCTCTAGTCATTTGCTTTTTATCAAGAACACACTGACTTTGTTTAGGAAAATTATGGTTAGGAAAGTAATATAATACTTAACATTTTTCTACTTTAGACCTGCAGCAGAATGCCTGGAGAGTGCAACTGTTAAAACAAGATTTCCAAAAAGTAATTTATTTTATGCTAACATTGGCAGTAATAAATCAAATAATTTTTTTGCCTTTTATGTCATTTACAAAATCTTAACATCTCTTATAAAAGACATTCAAAAAGTCAAAAAACAATTCCACAGTTGCATTGCCCATAAAATTCCAGTTAAGAAAAAGAATGAGTGAGTCTCCTCTTTTCCCATTAACAAACAATAGTTTTCTTAAACTGAAATTTATGACAAAAAGTGGAACGGAAAAAAATGTGTTCAAAGTGCCCCAACCGCAACCTCTTCTTCTTGCATCGGTGGACCGAAAATAATTTATAAAAAATTAACTAGTATGCAGTGCAGAACTAATGAAACTTTCTGGGAATACTCTCTAGATGTTGGTGGATGTAAATATGGCATTTTTCAAAATCAAGCATTTTTTTGCAGAAATTTTTTTTTCTGGGTGGGCGTTCCTCCTTAAGTTAACTTAAGTCTTTCCAGTTTGTTAACCCCAGGTATTTAAAACTGTTGACCCCGACTAATGGACAACCACCAAATTCATAAGGAAAATAAATAGCCTTTTTAGTTTCGTTAGTTATTCTGGCAAACACAGTTTTCTGGGTATTTCTTTCCATCTCCCATCTTAACCACCAATCCTGAATAGGCCTAAGAGACATATTTAACTTGCATTGTTCATTTTAATTTTTAATTTTTGAATATAATAAATAGTCATCAGCAAATAACTGTACAGTAACATGCGGATTTACTACAGCCGCAATATCATTAATGCAAATTAAGGACAGCCGAGGGTACCCTGGCAAATTTCAAACGCGTGCCGTTTATTTCTACGTACCGCACTCGGTTAGATAAATATGCCCGATCCACTGTATGACGCTGTGGTTCACTCCATACAAAGAAAGTTTATGAAGTAGTTTATAATGAGGCACTTGAATGGTTCAGATAGATCAAGGCAGATAGCTCCAATCTGACCTCGCTCGTTGGAAGCAGCTGCAAAATTATTAAATGTTTCCATGAGTTGCGTGTCTGTGGATAAGTGCTGGCGAAACCCACAATGATTAGGATAAAAAAGGATAGATGATTAGAAAAACACGCATGATGCTTTAGACACTATATGCTGAAATAATTTGCACACAGTACACGTTAACGATATGGGTCGATGATTTTCAACTTTGTGCTTTCTGCCTTTTTTAAGAATTGGTGCGACCTTCGCACTACGTTAGTCGGGGTATGTGATGTCGTAACGATGCCTGAAAAATAATAGGAAGATATTTTAAAATTCATTCTGCATACCTTCTAAAGAACTCATTTGGTATTTTGTCCGGTCCCATGGACATCTTTATATCTATATTTAGTAGGAGCGAAAATATCCCCTCCTCGGGTTGATAAATAAATCTTTCGTAATGGTACGTCCAGTATTAGACCTCAAATTCTCTAATGAAGCACCATCGTTGTTAACACAGTGTGAAAATATTAATTGAACTTATTAGCTACCGTATGTCATTTGCGTCTGCAATAACCTCATCATTCTAAAGGATGTATTCAAATCACTCTTTCCGAAATGCTAAGTGATGCCAAAATTTTTTTGGTGCAGATTTTATGAAATTTGGCAGAGTTTCAGAAAATAGTGATTCTTAGCTGTAACCAGC